ACAGTTCAACTACCCAATCAACTTAAATACTAATAATTAAAACTATTGGAACCACCATTATGCTTAAATTTGGTACAAAGTTCTTTTACTATTGCTTATATTCACTTTTGAACATTTTTAAATTGAGTATATTTTCTAATTTTCACTTACTTGCTGCCATTCTTAGATAATATTTTACTACACTCAGGTTATGTAAATAATACCCAAATTATATGCTTAAATAATGCTAAATACTTGGATATCTTAATCTTAATAATGCATTCTTAAATTATTATATGAATATATATTTAGAATAAATAATGTGATAAAATATTGCCTTATGTGACTCCATCTTTAAAACTTTATTTCTTGACATTAATAACTATTTATTAATGCGAAATTTAGGCCTTTTCAATCTGTAATTGCAAGGATATTCTTCTATCCTTTAAAATTAAACAATAATTCCAGATTGGCAGTGTTATAAGCAAACTTAAAATCTATAAATATTATATTTCTATAATTCTTAGTCTTATATTTTTTTCAGTATTCTGATTAAATCATAAATCTAGAAACGAATGTTCATTCCTTTAACAGGTTCTAATTATTTCTTAATAATAATTGTTCACATTATTAATTTAATGGGTATTAATTGAGAATTCGTCAATCAAACTAATTATCTGTAATTATCCCAAGGTTTAACTATTTCATGTAATTTTGGGTTCCAAAGATTATTAAGAATTAAATACCAATTTTATGCTATCCAAGTTTCAGAAATAGATTCATCACTCAAAACTTTATTTTATTCATATTTTCTGTCAATTTTTGATTTTATTAAAGATAGAATCAAGTGGAGGTAATTGTAAAGGGCATAATGTATCAAACCCTGAAATCTTCAGAGTATATGATTGAATTTTAGTAGTTCATTTGAACTATTCCATTCATAATAATAATGAGTCATTATTAATATTCCTGAACAGATTATGGCAACATAGAATCAAGTCCTGGTGGTTGACATAGATGTGTTAAAAATTAGAACGTGCTTTAAGAAAACACTTTACTAACAGTATAAAAAGCTAATTGTAATAATTAAAAATTCAATAAAGCTTGAAACTTAATAATAAATAAGACTTTATGAATTGAATCCTTAATGTTTACTTAGATACTCATTGCATCAATCCTTAATACATTAAACTAATTTAGAATTTTCACATAAATTACTTATCAAATGATTATTTCCTTATAGAAAGTTCTATTCATTATTTTTATAATCTGTTTGCTAATTATGATAAAATCTAATAAATTCTAAAATTTGTATATTTAAACTTTTATCATACTCATAAATCTTAATTTATAATACATTTAATAACAAAAGATTATAAATTCTATTGAATATTAGTTTAATCAATTTATATCAACAAGTACAGATTTCCTATAATTCCCAGATCTTCTTTAATAGAACCTATAAATTCAATCTAATTTTAATTAGAATCTTTCTAACTTACAACATTTATATATATAGAATAATTGGATCTCTAATAATATATATCATAATCATAACGAATAACGAACTATAAAATATACAAAAGTTTGTAATTATATACAGAAACTTTTTTTCTATTTTGAATTCTCGAAATAAGAGTTAAACTAAAAAATCATTAGATTTTAATAACACTAATTTGAAAAGTTTGTCATTTGAAGTTTCTTAGGAACTTAAAGAATGGTAGAGCATTTTATAAAAATAAATAAGAATTATATTCTTAAAATTAATTCAAATATTTTATAATTCAATTATAAAAATTGGCGTATCCAAATTTTTCAGTATTAAAGCAAATTGAATATTCAAATAAGTCCAATAAAATAAATAATAAATGAAAGCTTTCCTTTTAGTATGCCTCATTGCCACATCAATGATGGTTAATGCAATTGACACTCCTTAAGATTAAGAATTAAATGCATAACCAGATTCTCCTAGTTTCCTTCAGCTTTAGGCTTGTGCTTCTTGTTGTAATGGAGTATGCTGTTTGTCAGCTGCTAATTGTGTCAAAGGACAATGTAATAATGTCATAGCTCCTACCTGTGTTCAAGGTTGATTATATATTCACATCATAATTAAGTTATAAACATATCTATCATATTTCTCTTCCATATCATTATCTTTTACAGACATTTAGTACAATTATTGTCAAGAATTGAATTTCAAAATAAATCCTTGATACATATATATTCAAGTAAAGATTTTGAAATGAACATACATTTTTATGATAAAAGATCTTCAAATCATCCACATATTCACTCATTTATTGATATTATTGATAATATTTGATTTTTACTCTACATTCCAAATTTTTCTAGATTCTGGTATTATTTATAGAAAAGTTGATGTAAGAGATGAGATTATTCCTACAATCTTTTGTTTAAATATCAATCTAAAAACAAAAAAAAAGAAGAACAAAGATTAGATATTTTTGAAAAAAATGTAGACTTTAATTTTCAAAGTTCGATTATAATACTTTAGATGTTCAGAATAATTAAAGAATTAGCTATATAACTATTTGAAATAAAGCTCTTTATTCATTTATAAATCAAATAAAAATTCTTTGAAAATATTGTGGAAAATATAATAAATTGACAATAAGCTATTTTAATAGTGTTAATTATATCAACTACTTTTTCAAATTTTATGAAGTTTTTAAATTAACAAAAACTCAATAATTTAATTAGGATATTAAATTTTCTATAATTAGGAAATGATATAAAAAAGTTACTATTCTTTTATAGCTCTTCTTTTTTCCTTAAAAAATAACAAATCTCCCATTAATTAAAAAATAAATACATATTAAATGAATAATCAAAATTTAAACCAATATATTTCCAAATAATTAAAAATGGCAATATAATTAAATTATATATCCAAATAACTATGAAAAAATGATTATTTTATCAATAAAATGATTTTTATTATGTGAAACTTTTACATGATTATTCAATACAATTAATATTAGTATTATTTAATAAAATTATCATTATGATATCAAAGATTGAAATATAACATCATTGTAATACTAAAATTAAGAATTTATCAAAGATAACAACTTCTTTTATAATTTTATAATAACACCATCTATTATAAATTTATTTAAAATATTAATTATATATAATTATTTTTATTAATTTCTGATTATATAATCAAACCTATTAATAATAATTTTGATTAAATTTATCTTTTAAATATGAGAAATCCTTTCAAATCATAGTTAAAATATTATATGATGTTGTCATTACAACTTAATATTAAGAGAAGGCATATAGTTTCTACTTTAATTATTGTTTTTCACATTATATTGCCAATGACTATCATATTTTGATATTTAATTATCCGATATCTAAGATAGAGAATATAATCATGATCAATTTACTTGGATCATTCAATTAGAATATTAATAAAATTGATTGTTTAAAAAAAAACAATAAGTATATTAAGCAAATAAAAATTATATACATTTAAAATAAATTGATATTTTATATATCTTATTTAGTTTAAATAAATGAAGAAAACTAATCTTGAAATTTATTAATTAAACTTAATCATCCAAATTGAATTTTCTGATCAATATTGGATAATAAATGAACTTAAAGAAGAAAGAGAAAGTATAATTGTTTTTAATAATTCATTTTAGAGATTGAATGTAGAAAATAGTTAAATTTGATAAAAGTATAATATTGTTTCTTCTTTTCTTAATTTCTCTTAAGTTAAGTAATATTATCCATAATCGTACTAAAAACAAATCATCAATATTATTAATGTTAATAAGCTCATTTTAATATTCAATCAATTGTTATAATTGATTTATACATGATTTAAATTTTTTAAGAATCTACATTGTAATTATAAATTTGAAGTTATTATAGAAAGATATACCTTTGTTTTATAAACTTGAAGATATTATGGTTGTTTTAGATGATAGCCCGATTATCAAAGGAGAAAAATAATAAACATGTTAAAAGCAGTCAATTACTGTTTTATCACCTAGCACTTTTGCATTAAACCTGAATGAAAAACTTGGCATAGCATAAAATCTTTTTTAAATGAATAATGAGTAATTAATAAATGAGAGGATTAGTGCTTTTTGTTAATTTTCATATTTTATTTTAAAAAAAGACAAATTTTAAGAATTTTTAATTGAAAATTATGCTGAAACTCTTAGCTTTACTTTTAGATGGCTTTAGTATTATTCATATACAGAGTTTTATGAAAGTATAGATTTGAAGAATAACTCACATTTATAGTTTTTATTTTAACTAGAATTTAATAAAATTGAATATATTTGACTGGATTAAATGTAGAGTAATTATTTTGGAACAGTTTTCTAACTTCATATTTGATTCATAAATTTATTAAACAATTAAAGAAGTAAACAATAATTAATTTAAAATTAACTAAAAGGCATTCCTAGATCAATATTTAATCAACTATATAGATTGAACTTTTTAATTTATAAAATACCTAATTAAAGAAATTGATGAAAAAAGAACTTATCATTTTTGGAATATAAATATATCTAGGTAGTCATTCATGTGAATTTTACATAAATTAATATTATAATACTGATTAATAGATTAATTAAAGAGATCAGAGAAAAGAAAAAAGTTAATGTTAGAAAATGCAGAAAGAAGATATTTACTTGGAAAAGAGTTCATAAATTAGCATAAAAAGTAAACCATTCAAATAGATGAAAAATAATTTAACTGTTATCACTTAAACTTAAAAAACAAAAATTTAGATTTAGAATTAATAATGATATTGTATGTAGATGATTTAATACTAATTACCAACAAAAAATAAATGTGAGTTTCTTAATTGAAATGGATTGTTTTAAGTTTTCAAGATAAAATTGCTTTGCAGATATATTTATTTTAATTATCTTGATAGTATGATAGCTTAATTCCTAATTAGAATCAAAACGTTAATAAATAGTACTTCATTTTTAATTTATTTTTAAGTACGTTCATATTTAAATAATATGACTGTTGTTTTTGGATTTATTTATTTAAATAGAAAATGCATTTAGATTGATTATGTTGAAGATTATTTGACTAGACTCAATTATTCATATGTGAATAATTTCATACTTTAAGATGATATATTATACATCTCTGATTACTATCTTATTACAATCTATGATACATCTTTGAATATTTCTTAAAGTATCCTAACAAAATGTTAGATGCCTAATTTTCAACCCTTTGTTTTTTATCAATCAAATTAATCTTTTTATGCAATAATGTATATATGTTAAAATGATCCAAAATTATATTATTAATTAGGTAGGCGTTATCAACAAGAAAATATAACTTTTATTTCACCTAAACATTTATAAATATAAGATTACTTCTAATTTGATTCATACCTTGTTGGAATTTAAATAGTTAAACAATAAATCAACTAATTTGCAATTATGTGCTTTATCAAACAGTTCAATATTATTATCAAATTAGAATATGTGATTGATTAAATGGATTTTTCACAATCTTATCTAAAATTTAAACGATTATTGTAATATTCTCCTACAATAATGGCTAATAATTTATATAGATTTGTTGATGCAGCAATTTCTAAAGATTTAGTTTTTGTAAATTATCAAAACAAAATCAACTTCATATATTCATCGATTCTTTACAATGTTTCTGATTTAAATATTGGAAATTATGATTCCCAATATTTACTTACAGGAGCTATATAATAGTACTATACATAAAATATTTTAACATTTAATAGTTCGTATGGATTCTTGTTAAGCTACCCTATTTATAAAATTAGTAGCTTAAAAATTGAAATTTATCTTTAAAACTCAACTGATACATGTAATTTAACTGCTTATAATTTTGTGAATAAAATGATCGCAATTTATACTTTTCACTATAAGTCTTAAATAGATTGGAGATTTGAATTTGCACTAATAGCATTATTGATTATAGTTATAATAGCAGCAACAATACTAATTTGGTATAGAACAAAAGATTAGAAAGAATAATTTGGGTTAGAAGAATTTGAAGAATTAGAGATTGAAACATTCTAATGATTATTAAATTTAATATAAGTAAAATATCAATCTAATATTTTCATAAAAATTTTATTTAAAATACCTTTTTCGAATTTACTTTATTTTAATCGAATATCTGAATAGATAATCTTAAAATAATTGTTATCTTATTAATTTGATGGGTTCCATATAATTATTTCCTATAGTAATATGTTAATAAAAATAAGATATTGAACGAATCAATTTACATAAAGGAAGAATAATCAAATCTATAACATAGTCTTATGTTCATTTATGATGATAATAATAATAGATAATAATTATATATATAAATATATCAAAATAATATAAAAGAATTTTGATAATTTACTTTTATTATATATTCTTCATAACAAATGGATAGCTTAGTTAATAAGAATTAAATTATCAAAAAAGCCCTTTTGAATTAAAAAATATCTTATATAACCTGAAGAACTATAAGGATATCAGGAAAAAATTGAGAATGATATTAAATTTTTATCAGAATAAATTTAGAATAATAAGAAAGACTAATTTAAGAATACTCTGATTTATTCTTGTAACCAACTAATTTCTTTGAATACAATTTAATAAATTTAAGATCAAACTGTTTCATATGAATTTAAATACAACCTATATGATTTTATAAAATGAAAACAAATATTTGATTAATAATATAAAATTACTTTAAAATAAACATTAAGTATTAATTTGATTGGCTAAAACGGAATTCTTATTAAAGGAGATTTGATAATTTGATTTGAATTATAATGATAATTAATTGCATTCTTATGTATTTTTATTCATCCTAAATAATTCCTTAACATAACATTTAGAAGAATTATAAAAACTATAATACATGATAATAATCATTCTAGTTCAAAATCTTAATAACAGATATGAATGCTATTTTTTTTGGATATAAAGGATGAATCGGGACTATACTACATTTATAGATATATTATAAGGAAACATTTGGCAAAACATACATGATAATTAAAAGTAATAAGTTCACCATAAATAATAAGAAAGTCTTTGGAATAAAGATCAGGGAAAATTCCATTTCTCTTTTGTATCAAAATTATAATAAAAAAAAAATTTGTTTTTACACTTATTTTCAATTCGCTATAAGAGCTAAACCAAACATCTATAGATTAATATTACAGGAGTTTGATTAGTTGGTAGTCTAAAGTTTCATAAGAAATTAAAGAATGGTAGAGCATTTTATAAAATTTAATGAGAATTATATAATTTAAAATTCAAATTGAATAATTTATAATTGAATTATAACAATTGGTGTATCCAAATTTTGCGGTATTTAAGGAAATTGAATTTTCAAATAAGTACATTAAAATAAATAATAAATGAAAGCTTTCCTTTTAGTATGCCTTATCGCCACATCAATGATGGTAAATGCAATTGAAATCCCTAAAGATTAAGTCTTAAGTGGATAATCAGATTCCCCTAGTTTCCTTCACGTTTAAACTTTCCAAGCTTGCCAATATTGTTGTGGTGGAAAATGCTGTTTATCCCCTGCTAATTGTGTTAAAGGAGTTTGTAATAATGTCGTAGCACCTACCTGTGTGCAAGGATGATTTTATATTCACATCATAATTAAGTCATAAACATATCTATTACACTTCTCTTCAATATCATTATCTTACAGACAATATGTGCAATAATTGTCAAGAATTGAATTTCAAGATTTTCAAATTAAAATGGATTTTCAAAAACGATCTTCAAATTATCCGCATATTTACTCATTTATCGAGATTATGTTGATTTTATTGATAATACTTTGCTTTTCACTCTACATTCAAATTTTTCAATATTCAGGTAATATTTATTGAAAAGTTGATATAAAAGATGAGTTTATTTCTGCAATCTTTGAATTAATTACTTGATCAATAGTAAATAATATACAAAAAAAAAGAATTAGATTTTTTTGAAAAAATTGTATATCCTGACTTTTATTTTTTTAAATTCAATGATTATGCTAAAGATATACAGAATAATAAAAGGATTTGTTAGAATACAATATGAAATAGAGCTCATTATTAATATATAAATCAATTTATAATTTTTTTGTGGAAATTATATACATTTTATGTTAAATATTCTTATTTAACAATTATATTTTAATTATAAATAAATTGATAATAAGCAATTTTAATAGTTATAATTAAATAAAATGCTAATCAAGGTTCTAATGAACATAAATTCAATTTCTTATTTTTTTAATAAGGAATTTAGATTAAAGAATAACAATATAGTCCCTCAATTATCATTATAAATATAAAATCTCTCATTAAAAATAAAACTGTTTATTCAATAGCAAAAGTTATTAATACATAATTTTGACTATTCGATATATGATTTATAATATTAAGGTAATATTATATGATATCCAATAATTCAAATAACCATTAAAATGAATATTCAATAAATTTATTTTTTAACAATAAAATGATTTTTATTATGTAAAGTGTTTATATCATTATTCAATACATTTCAGTAGTATAAAAATGGAATATACCATAAATGGTGTTAAGATTTCTAAGATTAAAATAGAACATAAATTTTAATACTAAAATAGAGAATTTGTTAAAGAAAATAATAACAACAACTTTTTATAATTCCTATAATAAAACTATTTATTATTAATTTATTTAAAATATTAATTATAAAACTATTATCATAGATATTATTTTATTGATTCTTCTTTATAAAATGAAACCTATTAATAATAATCTTGTTTAAATTATTCTTTCAAATATTAACAATCCCTTCAAATCATAGTTAAAGTGTTATATGATTAGTAATATGATATTGCCATTAGAGAAGAATAATCATAACAATCCTTACTAGAAGTCATTTATACCCTAATTTAATTGAGGTGTTCATATTATAATACAAATGACTATCTTATATTCATCTTAAATTATTACATAAGAAATTTCTACTTTCTTCAAAATCTTTACATACAAGGAGGCTAGAGAGTGTAATATTCAATATTTTGGATAACTAATTCAATTTGGAAGGTTGAATTTGAGTACATTGACATTATATTTTCTAATGGATGAAAAATATGTTATTATGCTTAAAAATGATACTATATATATTAAAGGTTACTTGTTCATCAAGAAAATTTGATAATTTTATGAAGTTTGCAAAAAAGAAAGAAGAAGATTAATTAAGAGGAAAAAAAAGGAAAAAAATAGTGAAAAATTTAATTCTCTGACTAACTATGAATAATACATAAGTATTTCTTAAAGAAGGAGAAGGAATCATTGAAATAATGATTAAGAGGAAATTTAAATAATATAATGTTGAGAAATATAAAAGGAAAAATTTGAAATTTAAACATTAGCAAGAATTTGCAGTAATTCGTTTTCGACTTAGGAAATAGAAAATAATGATATTGAAGAGTAGTTTAATAGATATGTTTATGACTTAATTATGATGTGAATATAAAATCATCCTTGCACACAGGTAGGTGCTACGACATTATTACAAACTCCTTTGACACAATTAGCAGCTGACAAACAGCATACTCCATTACAACAAGAAGCACAAGCTTTAAGGTGAAGGAAATTAGGGGAATCTGATTATCCACTTAAAACTTAAGCTTAAGGGATTTCAATTGCATTAACCATCATTGATGTGGCGATGAGGCATACTAAAAGGAAAGCTTTCATTTATTATTTATTTTAATGTACTTAATTTGAAAATTCAATTTCCTTAAATACCGCAAAATTTGGATACACCAATTGTTATAATTCAATTATAAATTATTGAATTTGCATCTAAACTGAATATTTATTATAAACTTGAATATTATAAACTTGACATCACAATATTTCAAAGAAACCTTATATTGAGGCTTTAGTTGGCTAGATGTAAAGAATCTTTGAGGTAAAGTATCCTATAAAAAGAAAAAAGAATTATAACTTAACATTATGAAATTAAATTTTTTATGATTAATATTATCTGGTTAATGCCTGAGCTTTAATTTATATAATAAATAATATGGATAAATGATATATTTACATCTGCAATGATATCTAACTGGATATTTGCTTACATCTTTATTCTAATATTATAATTTTTTCAAAATATAATTTTCATGAAAATTATTATATATTTCAATTTTATATTGCTCAATTATCTAAATTTCTTATTTTCATTAAATTATTAGAATAAGGAAATTTAATGAAGATGGAAATTTTCGGTGTTAAGTGTAAAAATAATATACTTTTAAATATACTACATTTTCATGTTAAAAGCACTTATAGATAATCATAATGATATGTATTTTAAATCAGATATAAATGTATTATTCCAATTTTTATGTTTAATATATATATCATTCTTCTTAATGCAACTTTTTAAAGGAGAGTATGTTTTCTCAAATAAATAATTGTATTAAAACTAAATCTACTATTATTATTTGCTAAGCTTGCTTAATGTAAGATCAGGTTCCTGAATTTTTATTGAATTGTTTAAAGTATTATATTTTGGAACTTCAAAAAGATTCATAAAAAAATTCTATTGTTTTGATAAAACATTTAATTATAGCTCAAAAGAGTAGTACAAGAAGAGGCCTTTTAATAACAAAAAAATTTTATTATAATTAATGAAATTTGAATAAAAATTGAATTAAAATATAATAGCTTCGATTAATTTGAGATACAATAACATTTTATTTACTATTGATTATTTATAAGGGGGTTAATACAAGATTTAAAGTGTTATTAAAAATGAAAAATAAACTGATATTATAACTATTCCTCTTAACCTTAACAGCAACAAGTATCTAAGTAGATTCTTCATTGCATTGTGACTGTGCTGAACTTATTAATTAAGATGAGTGCAATCAATCAATATATTGGTGTGTATGGAATGTAACAACTTCTGAATGTTAATCATATTCATTTAAGTGTTCAAATCAAACAACAGAAATAACATGTCTAATTTAAAGTGATTTATGTGCATGGAATAATGGAGCATGTATTGATTATGATAAAGTATGTTCTGATTTTACAGATGAATCAAAATGTAAAAATGGAAATAACTGCTATTGGAATATAGAAAAAGTTTGTGAAAATTTTTCTGTTTGTTCAAATTATTCAGTTGATAATTGCCCAACATAAGAATGGTGTTCAAAATTATCTGGAACTTGTACAGATTATAAATTTGTTGTATGTTCTGAATTTATGTCACAATCAACTTGCATAGGATTTGAATCAAAATCAAGCTATTGTGCTTGGAATAATGATGGTAAATGTAGTACGTTAGAAGAATTTAGTGATTGTTCAGAATTGAATAATTTTTAACAAATATGTTCTGAAAATAATTGTGTTTATGAAGATAATGCTTGTAGAGCTCCTAAGTGTTCAGATAAAAATGAATCCACTTGTTCTGCTGTAAGAACTACTGGAACTACTTATACATTATGTTCTTATAAGGATGGTAAATGCTAAGATGCTACAGATACCTCAAACTTAACAAAAGATACTTGTTTCTCAAGAACAAGAAGAAATTATAAATGGTCTTCTGATAATAAATGTGTTGAATGTGATACTTTAATTGATGGATCTTTTGATTTTCAAATTGTTTTTGGAAGTCTTTTATTCATATTTATTGGATTATGAATTTATTTTAATTCATCATTTAAGTATAGATTATTGATGTATATATAATAAAATCTATTTGATGAGATGGAAATTTAAATACTTTCGATTTTTACCTTATGTCTTTGTTTTTGGTTCATTTTATAGTATGGTATTACTTTCTCACTTTTCTTTTATTCTTTAATATCTATTTTTGTTTTATTTAGACAATCATTTCATAAATCTTATGTCATATAGGATCCATAATGAAATAAATTACTATCACAAATATAATCAGATGTAAATTATTCTAAAAAATTTATCAAAATTCTATGTATATTATTTAATAACAAGAAAACCATAAAGAATCAAACAGATGAATGTTTAGATCAAAAAGGTTTAATTCTAAACCTATAATATAACCTATTTATAGTATTATTTTATTTTTATAAATTATTAAAACACAAATTATAACATCAACATTATTTTCAAAATATGATAATAATAAATATAAAAATTAACATATAAAATTATTTGAAGTATTGTATAATGTTTTCAATTATACAATTTACATAAATAATTGGACTTATATCATATCTCTACTTCAAATAACAATAACATTATGTGCTTTTTGTATTAAATGATAAGTAATATTTTACTTGATTTATAAATACATCTAAATTATTACTAATAAGGAAAGTAAGATAAAATAATTAATTATTTTTAATTGTAATGATTAAAGTTAAATAGATGGAAAAGTAATGAATAATGATAAAAAGAAGAATTGGAATTATTATGAATAATTCTTTAAAATAATAAATGAAATGCATAAGGAAAATTATAGTGATCAGATGAAAAAGATTAAAAGAAATTATAATGTAAATTAATAAAATATATGATGGATAATAATAATAATTATAGATAGAAGAATTAAATTTATGTATTTGTCATTTTAATTAAATAGAAGTACTTTGTAAAATATTGGAAATTAATTTTTTGTGAATGGGAAGAGTTATTATTAACTACTTGATCACTCAAAAGTAATATTGCGGTCATGAAAATAATAAGAAAAATTGATTTAAGGATTTATTCTAAGGATGATATTAGAAATAAGCAGTTTTATTTCTTAATTACAAACATTTAGGAGAATAAATAAATTATGAATAAGATGATTGTTATAAGATAGGGGTATGGAAGTGAATAGATGAAAAATATATAATTAATTTATATAACATAAATTAAATAAAGATATATTTATTTTTAAAATGGTAATGAATATCAATATTAATCATGCTAGGGAGTCGACGCATATAAAAAGACAAGAGTATAAAGAAATGTTTAAAGAAAAGTAACATCAACTAACCTCTATTTGAAATTATTGATAAAGGTAATAATAAATGAATTAATCATAGTTATATAAATTCTTAGCTAGAAGAACAGATTCCAATTTCAATTCAACAATATTAAGAAGACTTTAATAAACTAGAACAGCTAGATATCCCATCAGTGTAAGCAGACTTGTCAAATAAATTAATACTGCTAAAGATAAGACAAGAACATTAGTTGTTGTTGGCACTGTTACAGATGAGTAAATATATACATCATACCTTTAGTGTACGTCTTCTTACTGTTCCTAAACTTAATGTTTGTGCCCTTAGATTCACTGAGACAGCCAGAAAGAGAATTCTTGCAGCTGGTGGAAAAACATTGACTTTTGATTAATTAGCACAATAAAATCCAACAGGTATAATAATAAATCAATTAATTCAAAGGCACTGGAACAATATTATTGAGAGGACCAAGAGTTAGAGAAGAATTAAAACATTTTGGCAGAGCTGCAGGTTTACCTGGATCTCATGCTAAACCATATGTCAGTCACACTGCAAGAAGAGGAAAAGGTGCAAGATGATTGTTTAAAGTACATTAATATATAACAATTAAATAATATTTATCCATTTTTATTACAATAATACACAATTTGTGTATATTTTTATAGAAGAATAGACTCATTATTTTTAATATAAGTCTAACATACTATATCAACAAGATCTTGATCTGCATATAACTATGATTATATTTCAGAAATAAAAATCACTATTTTTAATCCAAAAAATGCAACACTATTAAAATTATACTTAATACTTTATTCAATATAGCAAAAAGTTTGTAGTAATTTAGAAGAGGTCTAATTAATTGCTATTGAACTACTTATAGATAAATTTCTTTTAATAACCTATTATATGGTTTTTTATATTTTTAGTATATTATTCTATGGCTGAGCTAAAATTAGGACTAAAGTAATTGGTTTGAGGATTATTTAATAGAATTATTAAATTGATTCCAATATTAAGTAATTTTTCTAGAGAATAAGAAATAATATTAAATATAATATTGATAAATATTAGAAGAATAAGAATTAGATTTGGGGCAAGTATTATATGCTATGGATATGGCAACAAAAAGAGATTGCTCAAAGAAATGTGGAACATATGATTTTTAATAAATTTTACAGAAAAAGTATACATTTATTGAAATCAAAAGATAATTCTTTTTTATAAAGAATCTCTTTAAATAACCTCATTCTCAAAAATATTTAATTATATATTAAATTATTATATAATTAAAGATTAAATATTTATTAAATTTTTATGGTAATATTCCATTAGTTCTTATAATTTTAAAACTTTTTTCTTATTCTACAATTACCAAAATATTTAATTCTTCTATTGATATTGTGTTTGGAATATATTCTTTATAATAATTATAAATATAATCTACATTTCCATAATTGACCAAAATAAAAATTTATGTTGAATAATTAGTTGACTTCTGCTTCTTTGAATATTTTATTAAATTGTTTATTATTTGTATTCCAAACTTTTCCTATCTAAAGTCATCACTTATTTTATAAAAACTATGCCAAGAATCTCTTAAATCTTTTTTGTAATTTTGAAACCTTTCTTCTCATTTCTAAATTAATTTAATTTAAAACATATTCTCAAATAAAATATTTTTCTTCTTAAACACAATTATATTAGTGTATTTTAATTAAAAAAGTCATATCATTATGGAATTTCTATTTTGATTAACCATTAACAAATAACAAATTATCGAGAATAATATGAAATTATTTTTATTTTCTAAAATTTAGCATTATAATATATAATAAATTTAGGATTTCATCTTAAATATTGAGAATGAAAGAAATCCTAAAAAATTAAATTTATCCAAATTAATTTATATAAATGTATAATTAATGTTCTGATAAAATAATAATCATTCTCCAGCCAATAAAAATAGTTTTCTTTATACTTAGTAATATACTAATGCACAAATGAAGATTATTTATATTCCCAAAGCAGAGTAAAAGTACCAATATTTTATATTGAACGTCTTTTAAGTTTAATATAATCCAATTAGTTATTCTTCTTTATTGAAAATAGAAATAAACTGTTTCATAAATGGATCTCCTAAAATATTAGTAGATTTAGCTTAATCAATACACATTGAACATGATCCATTCTATAAATATCTTTTATAAGCAGATTCAGGTACTGTTACCTTTGCACCTTAAAAAAAGAAGGTAAGATTAGGATATACATTATTACAATCACAATCTAAATTACAATTAAAATAATTATTGTAAATATGATTATATACTTTTTCTTCTAATAATAAACAAGTAGTTCCTGAATCAAAGATACTACTATGATCTTCAAAGTATAGATATTCATCATTATTAATTTAAATTCCCAATATTTATGTTGACTAATTTAAATAGAAATTAATACCCATTATTTTTTCATATTTGTTTTAATCCAAATAGTTTAATCAAGTATAGATTGATTAAATTGTCCATAAAACAATTAAGATCCTTGGGTTGAATTTAAAAATTAAAATCCAAATAGAGGAGATTGAATTTAGTTATTTGAATATGCAGATTCAAAGATATTATTATACTAATCCCAATTAGATAATCCCATAATGCCAGATGTTGTTTCTTATAACTTAAATATGAATATAGATGTACAAATAAATCAGAAACTTGATTTGCCAATAAGAAAGTTAAATTTGTATTAATTGGTGTATCAGAAATTGAAATCAAGTCTTATCCAAATGAACCTTAGCATTCTCCTTACCCATATATTTATGTATAAGTTTAATTGAAATCAATATATGTTTAAGACTTAAATGGTTTATATCTATTTAAGATAGAACAATTATCGCAAGTGTAATTGGCCAACCATAATATCTTAATATTTTGATATGTTATACACTAGATCCAGTGTCAACAAGGACTTGTAATGTTTATAATGGAGTTCCAATTCTCAATGTCAAAGCATAGTATTCATTATAAAAATTGTGAAGATCTATGCTTTCATCTACAGTAATTGAATTCTGCTAACCATAAGTTTTGGTTAGTAGGAATGAATTGGAAGCAATGTTTTGTGAAGCTACATTAAAGATAGAGTAGACTATGATTAAATATTACCCAAACATATTATTTTATATAAATGATATCAATCATCTATTTCATTTAAATAATTCGATCTAAACTCTACCTTAATTTCTTCTTTCTCTTAATCAACAACTTAGATAGTCACAGGATCATTCATGAAATTCTAATTTAATACAATATAATTACTTTCACTTATTTTAATTAATTTCTTGCATTTTCTTTTTTCATCTATATTTTCTTCTAAAGTTTTAATACTATTTATTTTGCATCTTAATCTCCTAACAAAACAAGTTTTTCACTATCTTTTAAAGCTTCTTTCCATTTTCCTAATTCTTAAAGTACTGTTGATCTTCTAAGTAATGATTTTTAATGATTGCTATTTAAATTTAATGCTTTATTACAATCTAATAAAGCTTAACTATAATCAAGTAATTTTAATTAACATTAAGCTCTATTTGAATATATTATTACTAGTTATTCTAATTCTTCTTCATTTAAAGACTATTTCTAATTTAATTCTTAAATACACTCTGTATATTTTTCAATGGCCTTTTAAAATTCTTATTACTTAAATAATTCATTTGCCTATTCTTTATTTAAAATCACTTGTGATTTAATTACATTTCTACCACCTTTCACTACTATTTTATTATTAATATTTGTTTATTAAGGTTTTTTGTAAACATCCATCACTATAGGTTCATCAGTTTCTTCTAACAATTTATCTACATCCACTTTATTCCAAGCATCATAATAATTTTATACTGAATTTGTATCTCTTTTCAATTATTTCTTTAAAATTTCTGATTGTTTCTCTTATTCAACTTTACCTCGAATAGGTACTGAATTAGGATCTATTTATAAATTTTATTTTTTCTATGGCTTTTAAGATGTATTCATTTATTCTTCCCAATCATATAAATCATGAATATAATCTTTGATTTCCAAAGCATTATTTTTTATTTATTATTGTAGTTGAATTGACATTATATTAATATTAATAATAAAATTAAAAATTATCTGCAATGATGACAATGATTATGTTTAACATAATCAGAACGGATATATGATTCAATATGAATTAAAATCACAACTGAGCTGTTAATATAAATATATATATTAATTATACTTAATTTTAAATCACTTTACCATAAATCAATTTGTGGTAATTTAACTAATATATATATTTCAATCTGAAATGTATATAATATATATAACAAACTTACAATTATATAAAATTATATCCATATTCTTCAAAAATATAATAATATTTGCTTATTATAATATATTGACTTAGTGTCATTTTATATTTATATACAAAAATAGTATATGAATATAATATTATATTTGAATATATATATTCAAATAAAGATAGAAATTGTAATAAATATATTATTTTAATGATAAATTTCTTAATATACTTTTTTATTAATGTAAACATGTTCATTAGGATGTCTTTTTCAATTCTTCTAATTCCAATGCTTTCTTTAATGCTTCTTATTGATGTCTTGATTTAATTCCTACTTATCCTCCTCCAATAGTTCTCAATAATTCATGATTTTCATTGTAATGTTATCTTAAATCTCTTGCCTTGTGATATTATGAAATATTACTAAATTGTCAAATTCAGCTTAATCTTCTTTTCTAACTTCAGTCAATGCAACACAAGTGGCTGTTTTTTAATGAACCAATGATCCTAATCTTGCTTTATCTAAAAATATATATATTAATTTAATATTACTTTTAATAAAACAAAATGGAACTTCTTATCTTCTACATAATTGTGGTAACCAAACAACAAGTTCAATAGGATCAACATCATAAGCAATAACAACAAGTTTAGCTTTTTTAGTTTCTACAAGTGTAGTGACATGATTTAATCCAAATTTGAGTACTTATACTTTCTTTTAATCTGATTTTTAAGCTTATGCTTTTTATTCAGCTAATTTAGTTAATCTTTATTTCTTTTCAGTTTTAGTTTCTGGTGAATATTTCTTCAATAATGTCAATACTTTTGATGCTTTTATATAGAATTAATATTTACATTGATTCTTATCAAGTGTTCTGCTGAATTAATGAATAGCAGCTGGGACTTTAATTCTTTATAATAAGATCTTTTTTTATCTATGAAGTAAGATATATCTTGGCCATCTAACATATCTTGATAAATCTCTCTTTGGTTAAACATCATTTCCAATTCTAAAGTTTTTAGCATCTTTAACAAAGAGTGGATTCTTTTTTCTATCAGCTACTTTTTTTTGTAATTTCTTAGCTTTACTGGTTTTAGGTGCTTTAGGCTAGAGATTAACTATAGATTAATTACCATTTAATATCTTTTTAAATTAAATAATATTTATATAGTATAATACATTTGTCATTCCTTTTAGAATTTATATTCTTAACTTTAGATACCTTCTTATAATTATAAGATAACATAGTTGAGTTACTTATCTATTATATAATAAAAGTAAATAATATTTCATTTTGATAATTATTCTCTAATTTGTCATTTTGATAATTCAACATTTTGATCTCTTATAATAAATAGTTAATCTTCTATTAAAATATTAGAGATTGTTTTTTTATAATGATCTTACAATTCAATTTATTGCTGTATTAAACAATCAAAGATATAATAATTAAATTATACTTAAAAAATTGAATCCTATTATTTATATTTCTCTAGTTTAATTGAATTAGATATAATTAGTTCTTTAGTTTTAGTTTTAAATTAATATAGTCTCATGATATTATTTTGATATTGTATCATAATTTATATAGTGGATTTAATTACAAATAAAACATATTTATATTAATAATGGATAGCAATAAGCTCAGAAACTCTGGTTATTAGTTATCTGATAGAGTTCAATTTGGAGGTATATTTGAACCAGAGAAATGCAAATAAATAGCTAAATAAGTGATGGAATTATATGATTCTAATAAAGATGGTTATATTGAATAAAATGAAATTGCTATGATGTTGTCAGATGCCTATAGAGCTATGAACAAAGGATTCAATCCTAATTCTTAAGATGTCTCTAATTGCCAAGCCATTTTAGACAGTAATTTAGTTAATTGAAATTGGCCATTAGGAAAATCAACCGGAAGAGTTCATAATGAAGATATAGAACAATTAGTACAAAAGTATTTCTCTGGATAACCACCTGCTTAACCAGTAAAAAGAGTTCCAGAGAAGTTGTCTAGAATTGCATAAGAAAGATTGGAAGTAGCCAGAAGAATCTTTAAGTTTGTTGACAAAGATAATTCAGGTGTCTTAACTGAAGAAGAGGTAATATATTAATTATATTATAAGGTTCCTGAATTATTAAAGGAAACTTATAAACATATGGGTATGAATGATTATGAACCAACAAAAGAAGATGTTGTCATTTGGATTCAAATGACTGATACTGATGGAGATGGTAAAGTGACTCTTGAAGACTATGAATAATTAGTATTAGATTCATTGAGAAAATAAGGCATCAGTTTGGAATGATTATTATATCATTTTAATATCAATTATTATGCTTAACTGTTTATAAATTTGATTGAAATATAAATATTCTGAATTCAAAGTAATAATTATACAGGACTAATTATTGAAGGTGCTTCTAGATAGCTATTTATGTATTTGTTTAGTTTTAATTTTCTTTTCTATTGAAATCCTTTCATTTTTCTACATTCAACATATAACTCTTATTATGAGTAATTGCATTCTTCTAAGAATTATGTCATCTCAAATTCCTTAAAGAAATTCTCAAGATCTAATGATCTCTATGGAATTGATTTATAACTAAACTCTGGTAAACTAGCTATCTAAATTGACATTTATTAGATGTTTCTGTTAAAAATTTAATTATTAATTTTTATATTATTAAAAATTAAAGTAATTCCAATTATTATTATTATATATATCAAAATGATATTATTACTTTATAAAATACAATATATTAATAATATTGATAATCAATTATAATAAAAATTATTAAAAGTGTACAAATTTTAATCAATGATTATTATTATAGATACATATTTAAGGATATTAATTTTCTATTTTTAATAGAATTAATAAAATTAATATATAGGATTCTAAAAATGATATAGTAGTTTGATGAAAACAGAAATGACTTAGAAAATATATAAAGTAATAAAGAAAAGGAAGTAAAAGACAATGAATAAACTAATAATAATCAAATTATAAGTGATTCATAGTGTAATGTTGATGAAAACAATAGTGATGTTGATTCTGATATAATAAATTAGTAAAATAATAAAAAGGAAGAATAAAAATAAAACAATATTGAAGTATTTATTATTCTTTAAATTTTTTAGATAAATGTGGTCCATAAATATAATAAGAATATTTAGAAAAAAGGTTATATTGAAAGTGATGAATATGATGACACTGATATTGATAATAAAAATTTATAACAACAATTAAAGTAGAGATTGAATTAAGAAAAGAAAAATAAAAAAGTTACTAGGGATGAAAAACTCTACGAATAGATTTAAAATCAAAGAAAGAAAAATAAATTATTAGAAAATTAAATATTAAACTTTCCAGAATGTAGTTTAATTTAATGGTTAAGTGGATTAGATATAGATTTAGAAGAACTTGAATATCATTAAAACTGTTTTGAAATTATTGAATGCGAATATTGCTCTAAACAGTATACTTTCTGTTAATAGTAATCTCATATGTAATAAGAACATATAGAATTTTATTGTTTAAATTGTGGTCTTTTTGATCCAAAAATGACAAATTAAAATCATAGATTAAGATGTTTTCAATTACATTAATTTGGATTAGATGATGCTAAAATTTAATAATTAGATTCTCAAGAGTTAGAAAATAATTTTACTCTTAATTATGATTGATACATTTTTATTTATAATTATAAATATTTATCAATTTGATTTTGATTTTTAATCTAAATATTGACTAAATTTATTAGCATTTATTTATCCTAATGCCAAACAAGGTAAAAATACAGCTGCTATTTAAGCTGTAAATTATGGAAATAATGAAAAGGCAGGTCCAGGACATAATCCACCAATTCCCCATCCTATTCCAAAAATACTTGCACCTAATATTAATTTAAAATCAATTTTCTTATTTGTTGGCAAATCCCATTTATCAGATAAAATAGGTTTTTCAAGTAAATTAAATGTTATTAAATTAAGAGATACAGCACCCATCATAACAAACATCAATGAAGCTACAATTATATATATATATTTAATACGATCCCAACTCTTATTGAAAGTTAAAAATCCTAAAATTTTTGATCTTTTAGCCATTCCAGAAACAACTAAACCAGCTCCAAACACTAATCCTACAACTGATGAAATTATTGCATCAATCATTGTTTTCTTATTTTATTTTGTTTAACCAATAATACCAACTAATGTTAAAATCTATATAATATTTTTTATAATATATTTACTCCACTAATAACCATAGCTAATGTATTAGTCATATCTACATTATCTATAAGTAATTTAGTTGGTTATTCCAAAACTAATTAATCCTTTAGAGTGGCTGTCAATATTCCAAATGTCATAAATGATGCTACTGCTGCCATTGATCTTACTGATAATCTTGGTAAACCACAAACTCCATGACCACTTGTACAACCATTTCCTAATTTTGTACCAAATCCAACTAAGAAACCAGCAATAGCAGCACCAATATATCCAATTTTACTAATTTAATTGATTGGATCAAAACTTGGTGATGCACCTTCTAACATTGGAGTGAATCTATTATAGATTTAATGTATACCCATAACATTTAAATAGTAATGAAGATGATAAAACAACACTTGACATTAAGGATAATTTCCAATAGAAACTATTTTTATCAAATGTTATTAGACTATAAAATATACCACTGAATCCTGTAACTCTTCCTTTTAATAAATAGTGAATTGATGTAGCTATTCCTATCAACAATCCTCCTGCAGCAGCTAAATAAATATCCTTGAAATTCAGAATCATTAAAAATTTTAATAATATCTTTTGAGACTTTTAATATTTATTTTATATTACTAATTATGGGTTGCCAAAATTCTATAATTCCTTTAGAAGATTAAAATAAGAAGTATGAAGCTAATTTATGAAGTAATAATAGGAAGTAATGCTGTTTTTGTAAAGAATAGAATTAAAATTTGGTGAAATTAAAATGCAATCATTATTATCATATACATTGTCTAATAAAAAAAAGAATGAATTCATATAATTGTATTTGTAACAAATCTATTCGTTAACTAAATAAGATTGATGTTAGAATTCATATATTATTTCTATAATAATAAGTTCAGATGTTATTTTAAAAGAATTCTAATTAGAAGAATTAATTATATCAATTTGTTAGCTGCCCTAATAGATAATGTACTTTCTATTTTATTTATGATTCAAAATTAAATGTTAATCAAAGCATCAATTTTTATTGTATTGAATGTAATAGCTTTCGTTAATATTATGAATAACTTATTAATAATAATGATAGAAAATTATAAGTTCTTAATTAGATCCAATAAACAAATCAAATATAAATAATAAAATAATAATCATCTGATTAATTACAAAAAAATAATTAGTAAAAATTAAATCATCATAAAGAATAATTAGAAAAAAAATATTAATAACAATTACTTAGAATCATTGAATCTAAAAAATTATAAATTAAATTTTGCAATAATAATTGTGGATTCATGTATGTAGAAAATAATACTTATGATATTAGTGATAATCTCTGTTAAAATTGTAATTTCTGTTATTAATGTGATGGTAAACTTTTCTAAGATTTTGTACAAATTAAAAAATGCAATCATTATTTTCATATCTTATGTACTTTTAATTTAGTTGATCCTAATAATATTTAATCATTAAAATGTTATTGTGATTAAAAGATAGATGATGATGAAACCAAAATTTAATTAAATATTATATGTATGATTTGTGGTCAATATGATCCAAATTTAAAGTAATTGGATTGTCAACATTATGTACATTTGAATTGCATTTCAAATAATTCAATCAAATTTAGTAGTTTTATGTGTTACATTTGTGAAATACCAATTCTCAATTTCTTAGAAAATCATCAATAAATTCATGAGAATCTAAAATTAAAAAATCTTGAAAGAATCATTTAATAAATTGAAAAAGAATGTTATATATGTCTTATCTAATCTTCAGAAGATCTTATTAATACTAAATGCAATCACAAAGTTCATTTATCATGTTTAAGAAAAAGATATTAAAAAATAAAAGGCCAAGGAGACTAATAACTAAAATGCTTATGTGGATAATCAAATTTATAATTGATTTCAGATTAAAAACTGATTTATTATTGATATCATTCCATTTAACCTTATTATTCACTATAATTTGATTGTTTATTCATAAATATATATATATATAATACATATACTATTTATTATTATTTAATAATAACTAACTAAAAATATATGCTTTAAAAGAAATAACACTAAAAAACATAATCAACTGAATTGTCTAATTAGGCATTAATGAATTATTTATCAACTCGAGAAGCTTTAAATGTTAGAATCTCTAATTCTCCAACATTGCAATTTGAGTTAAAAGTATAAATTTGTGTACACAAATAAGAAATAAATAGGTCCTCAATCAAGTCCTTTGTTGAAATCAAATAGTTCTTAACCAAACCTAAAATTATCATAATAATAGTAATTAAACACATAATCTAGGTAAAATTCAATAAAATTATAACAATAAAATGTGCTATAATCAAAAGGGTTCATGTCACCTAAAGTAATAAGTTAAGAAAGGCTGAATCATAAAACATAAGTGAAAAGTAATGCAAATCATATGAAAACACAACCTAACTCTAATCAAAATTCATAAACAAAAATCAAATCTATAGAAAATTTATTGGATGAATATACTATCACATGTATTTATATATAATTAATTTAAGCTCCTACATAATTATTAAAATAAGATATTTTGAAAACATTACCTTTTTCTGTATCTACAAAAGCTGATTAAAACTTGAAATAAAAGGCTTTATAAGCAATCTAAGAAATTAAATAAAAATAATCATTAGACATATTATCTAGATTGAATTTTTAAAAATCTTCAGTCGTATAGAGTGCAAAAAACCAATCATAATAAATTCCATCATTAGGGTAATTAGAAGGCCAATTAAAATTTCATTAAAAATCTAATAGTGCTCAATTTATAGAAACATAAAAATTCTAAACCCTTGCAAATTCTTAACCTCTCTTAGAATTTGCTTTAGATAAAAAAAAACCAATAACTACTAGGTAATATAATGAATTAATTTAGAAAATGTTAATAAGAACTAATAGCAATAATTGTTCAATATAAATAATTTAAATAAAAAATGACTATTGATATCTCGACAAATAAAATATCTTGGCTTGTAGAAACAATTAGAAAAGAATTAATAAATCATTTTGGAAATTCATGTTAACCAATAATAGGAATAAAAACAGCCAATATTTCTATACCTGTAGATTATATACTTTCTAATATTGAAAGACCTTTGTCTTTATTATCTAATTGTCCAATATAACCAGTGATTCTCGAACCTATTATTAATGTTGAATAAGAACTAAAATAGACTCGAGTTAGTTTAAGAGACTTTGAATTTATTCGATGCATAGGTGTTGGAGGTTTCTCTAAGGTTTATTTGGTAAGAGAAACAAGAACAGGTTAATTTTATGCTATGAAATTGGTAGAAAAAAAACCAATCATGTAATAAAATAAATAAAACATTATTCAAAATGAAAGAGATATAATGATTAAATTAAATCATCCCTTTATTGTTAAAATGCAATATGCATTTGAATCTAGAAAATACTTAGTTTTCGTATTAGAATATTGTTCTGGAGGAGAATTATTTTATCTACTTAGAAAAGTATAAATTATTAATTTATATTAAGGTTAAAAAAATGAGTGAAGAAGAAGCTTATTTTTATTTTGCAGAAATTTGTTTAGGAATGAAGAATTTACATAATAATAATATTATTTATAGAGATATAAAACCTGAAAATATCTTAATTGATTTTGATGGTCATATTAGAATAGCTGATTTTGGTTTATCTAAACCACAGATGGATAATTAAGATATTGCTTATTCATTTTGTGGATCACCTGAATACATGGCTCCTGAAATGTTATTAAAATAGGGTCATACATTCTAATTAGATCTTTATTGTTTAGGAGCTTTGTTATATGAATTAATAACTGGTTTACCACCTTTTTATTCAAGAAATACAGATGAAATGTATTAAAAAATACTTAATTAAAAATTGAATTTTCCATCTTAATTGCAAATGTCATAACTTCTAAAAGATTTGTTAAATAATTTATTAGCAAAGACTCCTAACAAAAGAATAGATGATATTGATTCTCTTTTAAATCATCCATGGATGACTTAATGGAGTGATAAGAATTCATATAAGGATTTCTTAATGAAAAAAGTTAAACCACCATTCAAACCAGATTATTTTACATTTAATTTTGATGAAGAAGAATTTGGTAGAGGAGAAAGTGAATTTCTTATGTAAATCAAACCACTATAATAAAATTTAATAGAAAATTTTCCAAAAGAAATCTTACTTAAGAATTTTTATTATAATCATAATGAAAATAATGTAGCTGAAAGCACTGGTGGTACAAATTTGAATGCAAAATTACAAGAAGAACTATAATCTTAAGGAACTTATGGATAAAAATCAAAGAGACTCAATAAAATTGATGATGAAAATACAAATTATGTTAACGAATAAAAAGCTTTCCTATTAAATTAATTAAGATTATAAACAGAGAATGAAATAAAAAGAAAATCTGCATTATGAATATTAAATATTAGATGTATTTTTATGCTTTTTACTTTAATAAATGTACTTTCACAATCATTATTATTATCTTCTTTATCCTCTTCTTGGTTATTTTTATTATTTTTCTTCGACAACAGGCTCATCAATGGGAATGTCAACTTCCAAACCAGCTTTTTCAAGCATTCTTTTAACATCTTGATCTCCTCTAAGATTGTCAATGTCAATAGATGATTTTTCAGGGACATAGTCCAATCTTCTCTCTCTTTCTTCTTCTTAAATCTATTGTTTGAAATGTGACCAATACTTTGAGTGAGATACCCTTAACTGATCCAGTTTAGATTCTCTTCAAAAGATGTGTTGCAAATCCAGCAATTTTATTTCTCAATTTTTTTGATGGTACTTATCCAACTTCTGAGAGAATCTTTTTATTGAAATGAAAATCTGAAGTGAGTTTCATGTAGTATTTTTCAATGAGGACTTTAGCTGCCTTCTTAACTGTCTTATTTCTAACTCTTCCCATGAATTAATTTGAAAAAAATTTATATCTTTAATTTATGAAAATAAATCACAGCAAAACAATAAAAATGCATTTAATACATAAATTCTTAATTCTTTTTTACAATTTACTTTAAATTTATACATTATTATTATCCTTATACACATAATAATCCATTTATTAGTTAAAGTGATAAATATTTTAATTTCTATATATTTATTAATGTTAATAGTGTAGGTAAGAACACCAAAAATAAAGATGGCAACACATCGTGCATAAAATAGTTAACCAATAATGTTCAATTAGAGTAATTTAAATAGTTTCCATCAATTTTTTCAAAATTAATCCAGAAGTTTATAAAAAGATGAAGGTACAAATAATAGTAGATCCAAAACTGAATCAATATAAATTGAATTAAAGGCTAATCATGCTCATAAAATATCAAGTTAATCAACAACAATTAGTCTAACCAACAGCACTAGTTATAATTAAAGATTATCGAAAAAAAATTAAAAATCTAACAGTAGTAATAAAATAATAGAAAAAATATTACCTAAATCTGTAAATCCATTTTAAGAAGATGAATGCACAGTTAACCAAAAATTATAATCTTAATTATAGAAATTATTAATCAAAACTAAAGATATCATCAATTCTTATGAAATTAATTCAAAAAAGCAATAAATAACAGAATAATAATTAAAGTAACAGATTGTGCAACTAAAAAAGATAATAGAAAATTAGCAAAAACAACTTAAAAAACATAATATTAGATTTTGAAAATCTTTATTTCAGCTGGATATCTTCCTTTACTTACTAAATGATTTTGTTATATATAAGCTATATAATAAATTAATAAATTACTCAAAAATGGCAAATATATTTTCATAGAAATTCTGATAATTCTCTAGAATGCATATCTAGATTTATAATTAATGTTAATTGAATACAAGCATTAAAAAAAGTAATATTTAAAAACTCGAACATCTTATAATTATATATGCGCAAATCTAATTTTTCGAAAGTGAAATCTAAATAAAATTTAATGAAGGAAAATTAATATAACTTTTTTTTTTGTAACTAATATCTCCAAAAGGAAATAAATTTATAGAATAAAATTATTTTCATCTTAAACTAATTATATTTTAATCTATCAATCAAATTCAATACATAGATAATTTCATGATATAGTACCAATAATAGAATAATTATTATCTTCTTTGAATTGTTTAGTATCTTAACAAATTTTCTCTAAATAATTTGATTCGACCAAGTAATGTTATTTAATCATTATAATCTATTTATGTTTATAATCATAATTAAGGCTTGTTATATAATTAGTTAATTGTTAAAGTAATAGAAATATACTATTTTACTGAAAAATTAATATTTTGAAACTCAAAAAATTAACTAAATAGATTTTCAATATATAATTGGAATTGTAAGGAGTGTTATTATATAAAATAATAATAGTTTTATCATCATTTATTTAATAATAATTTAGCATCATCCATACTGGTTGTTAGATATTCAAATCTCTTTTATTTTTCAGTAAACCAATTTGGTATTAATCTATTTTGATTAATTTAATATTCATCTAACTATAACTCTTCTAGAAATTGTATTAAATAATAATACCTTTTGTAAAATTAAATAAATTAGGAAGAGATTTTGAATTAATTTTAATATTTGGTTGTTTCAATTCTTAAAAGAAAGGATGTAATAAAATTTCAAAAGCAGATATTCTTTAATTAGGATCATAAACAAATATTTTCTCTAGCAAATCAATCAATTATTCATTTTCTATTTCTTAGAATCGTTTAGCCATAGGAAATTTAGGTATTTCAGGCATTTTAAGATCTAATATTTAAGATTTTAGATTTTTCATTTCTTAAAGAGTAGGTGTTCCTAGCAATCTAATAATGTCAGCCATAGTTTCAACAGTATTAGTTCCATTAAATAATTATTTGCCCAAAAAACATTCTGAAATAATACAACCCAAACTCCAAATATCAACTTATTAATTATATAATTTAGCTCCTAATAATAATTCTGGTGCTCTATAATTTCGTTCACCAACATAATTTGGAGAAGGAATCTAAGAGAATAATGATTTTGCACTATTAAAATCACAGAGTTAGACACTTAATGTATCAACATCAATTAAAATATTTCTAGGATTAAGATCTCTATGAGTAATGTTCTTGTGATGTAAATATGATACTGCTCTTACTATTTAATAGATAAATAATTTAAATAAGATTTATTTTGCTTTTTTCTCTTATTTAGTTAGATTGATTAATTTAGGATCTGCAACTTTAATGTTTTCTTAAACATTAGAANTATCTTAACAAATTTTCTCTAAATAATTTGATTCGACCAAGTAATGTTATTTAATCATTATAATCTATTTATGTTTATAATCATAATTAAGGCTTGTTATATAATTAGTTAATTGTTAAAGTAATAGAAATATACTATTTTACTGAAAAATTAATATTTTGAAACTCAAAAAATTAACTAAATAGATTTTCAATATATAATTGGAATTGTAAGGAGTGTTATTATATAAAATAATAATAGTTTTATCATCATTTATTTAATAATAATTTAGCATCATCCATACTGGTTGTTAGATATTCAAATCTCTTTTATTTTTCAGTAAACCAATTTGGTATTAATCTATTTTGATTAATTTAATATTCATCTAACTATAACTCTTCTAGAAATTGTATTAAATAATAATACCTTTTGTAAAATTAAATAAATTAGGAAGAGATTTTGAATTAATTTTAATATTTGGTTGTTTCAATTCTTAAAAGAAAGGATGTAATAAAATTTCAAAAGCAGATATTCTTTAATTAGGATCATAAACAAATATTTTCTCTAGCAAATCAATCAATTATTCATTTTCTATTTCTTAGAATCGTTTAGCCATAGGAAATTTAGGTATTTCAGGCATTTTAAGATCTAATATTTAAGATTTTAGATTTTTCATTTCTTAAAGAGTAGGTGTTCCTAGCAATCTAATAATGTCAGCCATAGTTTCAACAGTATTAGTTCCATTAAATAATTATTTGCCCAAAAAACATTCTGAAATAATACAACCCAAACTCCAAATATCAACTTATTAATTATATAATTTAGCTCCTAATAATAATTCTGGTGCTCTATAATTTCGTTCACCAACATAATTTGGAGAAGGAATCTAAGAGAATAATGATTTTGCACTATTAAAATCACAGAGTTAGACACTTAATGTATCAACATCAATTAAAATATTTCTAGGATTAAGATCTCTATGAGTAATGTTCTTGTGATGTAAATATGATACTGCTCTTACTATTTAATAGATAAATAATTTAAATAAGATTTATTTTGCTTTTTTCTCTTATTTAGTTAGATTGATTAATTTAGGATCTGCAACTTTAATGTTTTCTTAAACATTAGAATGTTTATAAAATTGTTATAAAAAGGATCTTAAATTACAACTCATTAATGGCATAATTTAATATAACATAGGCCTATTATCCTATATAATTTAAGAGATATTACATTAGATTTATCATAAACTACATAATGATGTTTGAGTTCAATTATGTTTGGATGTCTCAATTATTTAAGATAATAGATTTCCTTAGAACATTTATTCATGTTAATTTTACTTATTTTAAGAGCATAATAATTGAAATGACCTTCAATTAAAATTCTATAGACTTGAGTATTGTTTCCATCATAAAGAACTCCTTTTTTAGTAATACTACTTTCAGATATGACACTTTGAGTACTCTAATTATATTTTAAATTTTATCCACTAGATTTAATTTTATAATCAACGGATGATGATAATTAACTATTACTATTAATAATTTATTTGGTTGTCTTATCAACTGATTTTGATAGTATTTTTTTCATTTTTGATTATTTCATTTAATTATAATTCTTTTTATATTGTTGATATTCAAAAAGTGTCTTATGAACAGGATCAGTGTATTTAATAAGTTTTGTTGTATCAATAAATGGTTTAGTATTTTCAACTGAAGCCAATTGAGGTTGAAATCTAGAATTTCTTTTAAAGAGACTTATTTAATTATCAGGAAACATTATTAAAATATATATATATATAAAAATTAATGTAATAAACAAATGTACATCCATAAGTGCTATTAAGCATTTCTTCATAAATTTTAGCAAACAAAGTTAATTTCCCAGGTAAAACAATTCATGCTGGTATATTATTGGGATTTTATAATGCTAAAATAAATAAGACAGATATATTAGATTCATTTGAGATTAGTTATTCAGGTAAAGGTGAATTAACACCAGGAGAGATTGATTTTATAAAGGAAAGATAATAATTAAGATTAAAAGGTGATAAATGGAATCTCTTTAAGAATTTGGATATTGTAGGTTAATTTAATAATTACTATTGTAGGTTGGTATATTACAGATAGTAATCCACATAATTATCTGAAATTACATAAGTAATTACAAATCTTAAGTGAAGCTGAAATTACAGAAAATTAAACATCATTCTTTAAATATTTATTATGCTTTGATCCACTTAGTACTTAAACATCTTTGTTTGAATTAGAAGAGAATAAAATGTAAGTATCTTAAAGTAAAATTGAACCTCAATCAGAAGAGATGATTGGTATTACATCTTTATTTTCTTAACAAAAATCATAATCAAATAAAAAGTATGATTTAAGAGTTAATTCATAACTTTAAATGATTACTTTTTTAGAAGTATATTATTTTATATATTTAATTTAATAGAAAATGTTATAAAAATTATTATAATAATTAGATGATCCATAAATTGCAAATGATCCTTTGGCTTTATTAAAGATTAATGAGGTCTTGATTTCATTTCCTCAAATCAATCAATAAAATATTGAAGAAGACTATTTTAAGCTTTTAATAATCAGTTATTATTGTGCAATTTTAAAGTTAGATGTAACAAAAAATAAACAATAGGATTGATAAAGTAATTAGAATAAAAATTATAAACAAATCAATAAAACAAGTTAAGTTAAAATATTAAGTCTGATATCTCTTCTTTTTTATTTATATGAGTGTAATCAAACATAATGTTTATATATTAAACAGCAAAATCTTATTGTTTAACTGTTTCTAGTCTAAATTTCTTAAATAATTTATTAGATCTTTCATCTATCCTTTACTTTACTTCTTCTACTTTATTGCTTTATTCAACGATATTCAAATAACTTGAGTGTTATACATTAGTAAAATATTCCCATTTATTATTTTCATAATTAAAAAATGTAGTTTCATCTTGATTTTAAATTGATAAGTAATTTGCTTTTAAAGAAGATGTATAATTTGTTTTGCATTAAGAAGATAAGATATTTGATGTTTTAGTGTAATTTTCATCATCCTCTTCTAACAATAATTTTGATAGAGTATTATTTGATACTTTATCTTGAATTATTTATTCTTTTAAATATTGTTTAGTAACTTTGAATTATTCTTTTAACATCATAGATAATTATGATTCAATATATTCAAAAATTTATGGGTATATATAATGAATAAGTATTTACTCATTTAATTACTAATTTAAAAATCTATTATTCTTAACATATTAAATAATATCTTCAAGATTTTTATTACATCCTATATCAAATTCTTCATATAATAATTCCAATAGTTAATTTAGAAAAATTTTGAATCCCTTTGAATGAGTAAGTCCAATATTTCCAGAATATTCCAATTAATGTTCATTGATTGAAATCTCAATAAAATCATCGAAATATTAATTTAATTCATCATTTTTTTTATTATATAGCAAATCCCTTATTTAAATTTTATTTATATAGGGTTGAATATTGTTTCCCCATATTTTATACATGAATTGCTAGAAAGTAAAATTAAATGGGATCTTTTGAAATTTATCATTATTAATGAAATCAAAAGAGAAAATATTGCTCAAGACATCAACATTTTATTTATATTATTTCCAAAGTAAAGAATAAAAGTACATATAATATTTTGGGCTTATTCTGGATAGAAATAATCTAACCTTCTTACAATAAATATCAGTTGCATTAAATAAGTTAATAATTTGACAATTATTGCTATTATTATTGAAATCATCAATTTCAATATATTTTCTAAGCTCTTCAAAATTTAAAAATCTGAAACTAATACAAAAAAGTTAATCTAACTTATCATTCTAAATGTTAGAGTGATCTAATTTTTAAACTTACTAGAATTTAATTCTTTGAGCCTATTAAATTGCTTCTTCCTTTATATTATTAAGGAGTATATTATAAATTAATTAACATTGTTTTGGTATTTTATCTTTAATAAGCTTTGTACGAATTGAATGCAATTCAATTGCAAGTTAGTCAGGTAGTTTTTATTTACTCACTCTTAAATATAATGAATAAAGATTCTTAATTTCTATTTCATCTTTTTTACAAGCTGCTCCCATTAGAGTATAAATTTGTTATGAAATTAAATATTTATAGAGTGAATCAAATTCCTTAAGTTAATTTATTTATAGAATAGTCCATAAATTATAATTAGATTGTAAAAAATTTATTCTCTTATTTTGAAGATTTGGAATGAATTATTAAAATATTTAATAAACTCATAGTAGATTAGAAGAATTTAGAAAAATAATATATATGAATAAAATATCATTAATTTAATAGAGTTTTGTAATTAATTCAATAAAATTGTTAACGACAAGGCTAAGTCGGCAAAACTTATTATTATGAATAAATAAATAAGAATTAAATCTTAATTTAATTACATATTTACTTATAAATGACATGTGATGTATGATCATCTAATTGTAATAAAATTGACAATTAAATGTTCCTATGAATTGTTCAACTATTATAATATAATTTAATAGAGATGTTAGCAAGAATTATTGGATTTTTAATCACCATTTTGAGTTACCTACCTGTCTATATATACAATTTATTGTACAGTAGATTCTACACAAAGTATAATAACATTTAATAAATAGGTGGACTTACGTAATGATGTGCGATAGATTGGAAAAAAAGATGCCAAATGTTAAACGAATTCTAGATGTTGGAGTAGGTACAGGACATCCGATGAAACAAATTATTAATAGGATTCCTTCAAGAATTCGAGTAGTTGGAATAGACATCGATACTAATTATTTAAGGTAAAATAAATAATCATGAATCCTAGATATGCAAAACAAACATTCAAATAAAATGATAATGTAGAAATAAGAGAATAAAACTTTTATGATTTAGAAAACTCAAAAGAACAATATGAGGCTGTGATCTTTTCTTCATCTTTCATGATAATGCCAGACAGAATAAGAGCATTAAGAATTGCAAAACAAAGATTGAGTAAAGGAGGTTCTATCTTTTTTTTATTGACTCTGGAACCATATAAAAACTATAAAACAGTGATAATCGAAAAAATAAAGCCTTACTTAAAATACATCACAACTATTGAATTTGGAAGTATTACTTATGAAAAGGATTTTGAACTCATGCTTAGAGAAGAAGGATTATAAATTACATCTAAAGAAAAGGTTGCTAAATATAGTGTATTTTTGGCAATATTTAATATGTTTGTTGTAGAGGCAGAAGTAATATGAATTATACATATATTTTATAAATATGAATTTTTTGTTTGAAAGATACATTTAATTGTCTAAACTATACCATATGATCATTGATATTAATATCATTGTATATTAACAATTAATAATAATAAACTTATTAATAATGACTTATATAGATGTTTATTATAAATGATATTAATAAATCATTTCTTTCTATAAATTGTTATCTCTTATTATTTAAAATATCTTCTATCATCTTCATCTACTAAAATCAAATTCAAAATATATTTGACACTAAATTTACCATTAACATTTTTAACAGATGGTGTTATATCTACACCACTTAAATATAATCTAATTGGAATCACTTCTCCTTTTTAAGGACAACCATCCATCAATTCATATTTTACAAGTGTCTCATTATCTGTTTATTGTTATTAACCTTGACCATATTATTCTTTTCTGATTACTGCCAATTCCATATATTTTATTTTGATTTTAACCAAATAAAAATTTACTTTTCCAGTTACGACATCTCTCAAATGAAATTTACTTTTGAAATATTCAAAATCAATATGTAAACATTCTTCAATACCAACCTATTTAATAATTAATATATACTTCTAATTTTAATGATGTTTAAGGTTATTCTTCTATTTCTGGTTAAGGAATTAAAACAGCAAAATCAATTTCTTTTTATACTTTACCATAACTTCTAGTCATATAAATCTTTAAGTAATATCTTAATCTCACTGTATTACCATAATAACTTTCATTTTGCTTTTCAAACTTCTAAAATTAAAATTTATATGCTTTGTCTTCAAATAGAATTCCTTAAGGTTCTAATTCTCTAGACATTGACATAAAATCTGAACTCTGTTTTTAATCATTAATAATTTCTTGTTTATTTATATTTATTTTTACCTATACGTCCAATCAATTCAATTCTTATACCTAAATGTTCTATTTTCTTTTATTTATTCATTTTTACTTCCACTACACCTGATATATCATCATCACCCTAATAAATTAATAATCTAATAACAGTGTAAACTGGTAATCTCAATGCTCCTAATTATTTATCAACAAATCTTGTATGTTTACGTGTCTCTATTCCATCTAATGTAACTTCAATTATTGGTTACCCTTAAACCATATTCAAAAGAGATGCCTAAAATACGTGGAATTCATTAATTTACCATCTTATGTCAATTAATGATATAATTTAATTACAATAATTATTCTCAATTAATAATAATCTAATTTATTTGAGATATATTTATATCAACCTAAAAGAACACTATTTGATTGTTCAAATAATATTAAATCAATATTTAATAATACATTTACTTTTAGAATTAATTATGTCTAAAAAGAATTTATATTAAATTACTCATAAATATACTTTATCATACTCTATTAGATATTTTTTGTACATCCCTTATTTGAATAATTCAAATGGAATTGTTTATTTATATCCATAAGATAATCCAGCACCCCATGTAGTGAATAACACAAATATTGATAATGGTTTTTTCACAAATGAAAGTCTACCCTTTCTATAGAAATCATAAAAGATTCTTCTTTTGCTCAATAGTAATTTATAAAATAACAATGATGCAACTGTGCAACCTGCAGTAGCATTAACTAAACTTAACATTGTATCATTTGTCACTTTATCAATTTTTTCTTTGTCAACCTTTTAGAATAAGTATTATACCTATAATAATGCAGGATGATTGACAATAAGATTAGACTTATCAGAAGGTTAAAGCATCATATATCTTTTAAAATATTATTCAATTAAAGCTTTATTTGTGATTTTGGCATTTGGATTATTAGTCTTAATTTCCTATATAAGTACTTCTCTCCAATCTTTCTATTCCCATCTATATTATAAAATAATTGATTACAATTTAGCATATGGAGATGTATATTTTTATGAATCCATAAATATATATAATAATTAAATATTTAATATTTCAGTTACTTATGAGTGGTATCAAACCATAAACTGTTAAGATTGTATCTAGACTAAGAAATGGATATTAACAAGAAAATAATCAATAGGATGCTAATAAGATATAAACAAATTTAATTGAACATTATGATGCTAGAGATTTACGATTATAAGAATTATAGGATTGCTAAAAAGTTTATAAGGTGATCAAGAAGGAGACTACTACAAAATGGATTCTATTATCTAAATTGGAAGAATGCAAATCATAAATAAAATTAGAATTATAATATTTAAGAAAATTAGTAATTTATGTTTAGAATAACAATAAATAAAGTTTGAATAAATCATAATAATATGAATTAAATTAATTATAGACACTCTTAAATATTTTTGATACTTATATTGATTAAATGGAAAATAACACTTGTGATAGAAAAGATAAACTAAAGTGTATAAAATCTATTGAATTTGAGGAAAAATAAAAAACAATAAATGAATGGAAAAAATGGATTAATAAAAATGAAATTCTCATTTAACCATCTATTTCTGAATTGAAATAGATCACTTTAAAAGTTTTAGAGGAAGTTCTTACATAATCTTATGAACTTAAATTAAAATTATTATAAGAACCTGATATTATTAATCCTGATAGTACATTGATATACTAAAATTAGATTTAAGATCTAAGAAAGAAATTAAATCTTGATTAATATAAGAGAAGTAGAAATCAATTTGATGAATTTCAATAAATGTAATCATTTATTTATCAACTATTAGAATAGACAATTTTAATTATCATATACCTAATCATTAAGATATGAATCAATTAAATTTATCTCAATTAAAGGAAATCAAAAGATAACTTAAAAATAAGTCAAAATCTAATATTAATCAAATAAATTCAACCAAGTCTTCTCCAAAAAAAGAAGAATCTGCTAATTAGTAAAATGAAGTTGATCGATTTTTAAATCAATATTAGAAGTAATAATATTAGTAAATTATAAAAGAGAAAAATAAAGAATAAGTAAAGTTGACAAAGCACAATATAAATAAAATATAAAAGAATCTTAGAGAGAGGTTTTTATAGCAAGAACAAATCAAGGTTCCATCTAAAAATTACATTAGAGTTTTGAAATCAATAAATTAAACACAAGTAAAGGACATAGAGAATATCTTATTTCAATGGTTGATGGATAATTATTAAAACCTTATACTCCTTTAGTTAGATTAAAAAAAGATGAATCCAAAGAAACATGTCAAAATTCTCGTATTAATGATATCTACTCTTAAAAATTTAGTTTGAGAAATACATCTCCTTAATCATTTGTTGAAAGAATATCTTAAAAGATAAATGATGTTACTACTTGTGAAGAAGATGAACTTTCTTCAAAATTAGAATTTCCTGAACTTTAAATGTAAAGATAATAATGCTATTTAAATAAGGATAATCATAAGGTTGTTAAATAATAATACAATCAAAAATTTATTTAAAAAATTAATAACAATGAAATTAAATTAGTGAAATAATGTTAAGGTAATAATTTCTATATTTATTAAGATTTCTATACAACTAGAATGAAATTTAATGATAAATTCACTGAATTAGTAACTACATTGTAAAAGGATCGTCCTTTAACTTCCAGTATTAGATCTAGATCTTTAACAGTTAATTAAAATTAAAGATAAGAGAATATATAAAAATTAAGAAAGGTTGCAGAAAAGGCTCGTTAGAATTTCTTTTTTCGAAATAAAGAATAAAGATAATGGCATTAGGATCTGGTTTAATAATACAAATAAACTGGTCTAACAAGCTAATACATTCTTGAACAATTGTAATACATTCTCTAGGGTATTTGTAATTAAAATATATAGAGGGATTATTTATCCAGGTAGATGATATCATCAATATGTTAGAACAAATTGAAGATTCTCCATAATTAAATATAACTATTAAAAGTTGTCAACTTTTAAATGATATATTCATCTACTTTGGAATACCAATTTCTCAATTAAATTAATATAAAAAATTAAAAAAATTTAATAATAATCTTGAATGATTTATAAATTAATTAAATAATTTAGTATATTAAATTAATCATCTTTCAATTTACATTGCATCAGCCATTTGTGATTCATTACGATTGTATTCATCATAATCTAACTCAATTGTATTATTTTCCTCCTTTTTTATTATTAAGATATCTTTAAATGAATTATTCTTTTATTCTAATTTATATCCTTTATTTTTAGCTACAAATAAAAGAGCAGCAAATAATTTACTCTTACTAATTTTTTCATTCATTATTAAAGGTAAAGTTTTTTCAATTTTGATGAATTCAACTTATCCCTTAATTTCATCAATAACTCTTTCCAAAATAATTTATAATTATTTAATTGTAATTGGTTCATTATTATTATTAGCTTATACTCTAAAAGGCAATATATAGTGATCTAAATCATTTGAATAGTTTTCTATCATATAATTTGTCTCTTCTAATTATACTTAAATTTAGAATTCATCTAATCCAAAATTATCTGGTCCAACTATTGCAATTGCTTATTATTATTATTCTTCTTCTTATAAAAATCCAGTATATTCCCTTGTAAAATATTCAAAATATCTATAATAATCAAAATCTTAACAATTATCAGCTAAGCATTTTAATGTTAATTCTCTCTAACCAAAATCCCTTTAATTATTTCCAACAGTATTTAAAATAAGAAATCTATTTAATTCTGATGCATCATCAAAATTAAATGTATCTGGATATATTTTCTTTTATTTCTTCTTAACATTTGTTTATTATTATTAAACTGGTTATTATTAATTATTATTTTTTTATTATTATTATTATTATTATTATTATTATTCATAAGGTGCTAAATCTTAATCAAATTCTTCTTCTTCTTATTCTAAATCCCATTCATCTATTGGAACATTCACATCATTAAATATATCTTGAAATTGCTATTAATAACTAAGTTATTTCATCTCTTCTGATATTTATTTTTCTACTGTTTCCTTTTATTATTTTTAAATTTGTTCTTATAGAATCTTTTTCTTTTCTTGTTATATTTAAAATTGTTCTAATTGTAATTATTTCTTTTCTTAATTTAATTATTTAATTTCATTTATTTAATCAATAGCATAAGGATCAGGTAATAGCTCAGGTAGTTAATTATTGAATTCTTCAACATCCATTTAATTAAGTTAAATATCAACCTATTAATTTTCAAATTATTATTATTAAGGTTATGAATCAATATTCAATTATGCAATTTTCTTTCTTAAAAGTACATCTTATTAATCAATATCTATTTCTGTTTGATTAATTTTTAATTATTATTAATATTATTAATTCAAACTTATAAATTATTATTCTTCAACACTTAATTAAGATAAAGATTATTATTATTAATCTATTGTTTATTATGCTTATTTTAATTTTTCATCATAAACACGAAAATCATTAATAAATTTATCAATAGCAATTTATTATTTTTTTTCCAATTTAACAGATTAAGTATCTTTTTTATTGAGTAAATATTTATATCTTTCTCTAAAATCATTTATTTCATTAAAACTCATTTTGAATTATTTACACATTAAATTAGAATAATCTAAGACTGATGTATCTATTTCCAATTTAATAAACCCTGTTAATATATTCTTATTTTGTTCATTTACTTTTAATAATTAATCAGGATCAATGATAATAGCTAGATTCTCATCAAATTTAGGATTATAAATAATTAATGTATTCAAATCCTGCATATCTAAAGATTTACTTGTTTGATTAAAGAATGGATTGATTTAAAGTGTATCATATTGATGAGTATAAGGTTTAAAATCAAGAGTTGATTCACCATATTTAGTTATTTCTTTAAGTTCCACATTTCGATTAAGATGAATAGTTTTTTATGTTATTTATTGATTTTACTATTGTTTACTTTTCTTTTAAGGTGGAGCATTAGGAATAGTAGATGAATCGTATGCTCTTAATAAATTAACTTTTAACTTTAGACTTTCCACATAAGTTCTATCTACTCTATTAGAATAAAGCCAAGCCAAGGCATCCAAATACAAAGCACTTTTATTCATATCATCTACATCAATCAATCTAATTTAATTGCCAATATCAAAATCAAAGACTTTTTCTGACAATCCTTTTTACATACATTTAAGTATCTCATTAAGAATTTCATTCTATTCATCATCTGAATCATCACTATTTTCTTGTTTATTAGGTTAATTTATCTATATATCTATTTCTTCTTCTTGATGTGTTTTGAGATCAGAGAGATATTATTATAATTTTGACATTGAATAGATCATCAAAATTTTGAACATTAAAGCTCAAAAAATCATTAAAATATTTATAGAACTGATAATTTCAAATACAATAAATAAATAATACATACCAGCTAAAGCTTAAGAAAAAATATTTGGTTTAATTCTAAAAAGACCTGAAAATTTAAATTGTGCTGACTGTGCAACAAAAGGACCTAGATGGGTTAGCTTAGATTATGGAATTTTTATATGTATGGATTGTGCAGGTTTAATATAATTTTCATTTATAAGGAGCCCATCGAACATTAGGTCCTAGTGTTACAAGAGTAAGATCAACCAATATTGATGGATGGTATTAAGAAAATATTGATATTATGGAATCTATTGGTAATGGAACAGCAAATTCATATTGGGAAAATAAAATGCCAAAAGATTTTATGTAAATGATTATAAATAACAATTTTATAGCAAACCTACTATTAATTAAGGTCTAGATTCATTAATTAGATTCGTATAAGAGAAATATGTCAAAAAGAGATTCATACCTTAAATATCTTGTCCTGATCCTAAACAATAATATATTCTAACTAAAACGTAATATTTATATTATATTCTCAATTAGAACAGTCAAACCCTTTTATTTTAATCAATAAGAAATTAAAATAGAAGAACCTAAAGTAAAATTGGGTGATTTGATTGATTTCGAAGATGACTTTTTTGGAGTCAAAAAACCAATTGTATAAGTAGAAGAAAACTAAGGATAAAATACTCATTAAGGTACTACACGTTCATTGTCACCTGAAAAGGATTTCACTGAATTTGTACAATCAACTTCTAATATTAATCAACCTATCCATTCATTACCTTCTTTAGATATACTTACACTCTACAAATCAGAATCTTAATAAACATAATAATCATAATAAATAATACCAAATAAAAATTCAAATTATGCTTATTTATCTAATATGGGATAATAATAAAATAATGGATTTTATAATTAGCAATTAAATTATTAACAACATCTTTATTAGTAATAATAATTATAATAATAATAATAATAATAATAATTATTCCAATATTAATAATAATAACCAATTTAATCAAATGGACCTATCAATATTATGGATTTATATTCAAAATGATATTTATTTAGATATTTATTTAGATAATAATTTAGAAAATTATTATAGATCAATAGATAGATTTTTAATCGAATTCCAATTCATTTCTTTCTACACATTGCACAATAAAAAGTCATATCTTATGCTAATTATGCTTAAACACCAGCACATTCATAATGTAACCATTTAGAACATTTGTCACATTAAATATATGATTTATCAGGATTTGATATTTAATTACAAATACAGATTCTTGTCCATTTCGAAATAGGAGGAGTAAACTTATCCTTCTCTACATTATAATCAGCTCTTGTAAAATATGTTCTTTCATTTTAAATTGTCATTTCCTCATATTCCTTTATTGATATTAACTTTATTTCATGATCAATCTAAGTGCAAAACAACCACTCCTCTATTTCTGATTAAAATAGTTCAAATTCACTTATTCCTTCTTATAATTCCTTTAATTTTTAGGGTAATTCCAATTTATTAATATACTTTTACACTTTGATCATGGGTATCAAATATTCATCCACTTATAAATTACAAAATCCTATCAATTTTCCATATGTTTTCTTGTCTCTATTACCATCTACAGACAATTAAATTATTTATCCAATTGAATAAATTATCCCATCATATTTCATTTTCGAGTATGATTTCACTAAACCCAATTATGTTGCAGCATCAACTAATTCTTTATACTAATATTTGCTTAATACTAATACCTTTTTTGAATATAATAACTATTTTATGACTTAGTCGTTGACTTAATTAGCCTCCATTTTTATTAATTAAATAGAAAATTAAGGGTGGGAAATATTAATTTTTTTTATAATTATTAAATTTTTCATAATTATTCCCAACTTTTAAGTTTTATTCAATTCGTATTATTTTTATTCTGTCTTCTACTACTACTTTGGATTTTAATCAATAATCATAGCTAATAAGTAATAATATTTAATATTCTTTAATATAATTGTTATTAAGAACAAAAACTAAATATATACATTAATATATAGACAATAATTAGATTATATGTTCTAAATAACCTTTTATTTCTCCCAGTAAATAGAATTTATAAATACCATTTTAGATTGAAGATAAAATAATGAATTAATTTTATGAAAAAATTCAAATCTATTTAATACTTGCTGGTTTATATTAAATAATTATTATTATAATTTCATTCTGATATATAGGAAAGTATAATATCTATTTAGATAAATGAGTTTTGTTTTTATCATCAAATAATAATAAGTTAAAATTCAAACTGTTTTAATAAAAAAATTATTAATAGTAATGAAAATACATTAAATTTTAATTGGGATAAAGTAAATAAAATTATTAAATTTATTCTTTTTATATTGAGAGAATATTTTCGAAATAATTCATTTTTTTCAAATTCATATATAATTAATAGTATTTATATACATTCATGATATTATATACTTATTTTGAATAAATACATATCATTTTTAATGTAGATATATAATTAATACAATCAATTTAATCATTAAATATGTTTTTTTCATTATAATAGTAATAGTAATTTTGAATTAACAAAATCTATTTATTTCAGAAATTAAAAATTTATGATTGGGAATGTTAATATTTTTATATTAATTATTCTTTTCACACTCTTTATTGAGGCTAAGTCATTTCACTTCTTTAATTTTAATTTGTTTAAGTTCTATGTGTAACATTCTATTCAGTCATTGTTAATTAATTCTGATTACGTTCCCATCTTACTCCATCTCCTTTTGGTCTTCCGCTTTCTCCGAACATTGGAAAAGGCCAGAGCCAAGGATTAGTTCCCATTACTTGTAACCAATTTTCTTTGATACTGAAATATATTTATATATTTAAATTGTTTACCCAATATCATAACCATTCAAAGTAGTTTATGATGAATTTCCATTTCTTCTAACTTCTAAAGTGTCTATAGTTGTTTTATTAGTTGAAACTAAATCTAAGTGAAATAGAAAGAAATTGAATATAACTCCTCCAAATACAAGAATAATTATTGCTCTATTATGTTTTAATTTGTTACAGTAAGAGAGTAGGGATAACATTAAAATCCTCTATTAAAAGTCTCCAATCTACAAATATAAGATCCATTATTATTGGATAAACTCTAAAAGCTGTAATAACAATGCTAAATAAGACTGATAAATTTATATAGAGGAGAAACAATATAAAAAACTTTCTATTTTGATATCCTACACAATTTCCAATCCAAGGACAATGATGATCCATATTTAAAACACATCTTTAACAACTTTTGAAATAATTATAAAATAGTTACGTTGAACAATGATGGCAACGTTCAGGTTTAAAAATATGGCAAATTAAACAATATCGTCTTTTCTTTTATTCTTAATCATCTAATAAAACTCCCCAATAAATGGGAACCTGAATTTTATATAGAAAATACTTTGCCAGGATCGCTAATAATACATCTGACCATTGACCATACAACCATCATATAAAATATTTATAATGGAATCCAAAGTATTTGTATGATTTAGGTATATTCAGATGAGTATGGATTTATTAATGTTAAGTAAACCATCCATACATAAACACATATGATAAAAAAGAATACTCCAAGTAAATAGTTGTTGTTTAATATTTTCTACATTTGAATCTCTCTATACATTTTATTATATATATATTTTATATATATAAAATATTATTTAAAAAAGTAAATACAAAAATTTATAAAATCTATTTTTATGAGTTTTGAACCATATTAAGAAACTAAAAAGACAGTAAAAGTAGCTCCAATTAGAATTGTTCAAAATTAACATGAATAAAATGGCTCTTAAAATCAAACAATTAAATATCCATAACTTAATTTATAATTCTAATTTTAAAAATGTTTCACTCCAGCTGTCACTATACCTTTAAGCTTTTTATAATAGCTTATTTAATAAGCATAATCAAACAAGGTTCTAAATTAGATTGGAGAAACTAAAATTATTAAATAAGAATAATCAGAAGCTGTTAATAATCTCATTACATAAATCTAATATTAAAAATAAGGAATTTCAAAATCATAAGATAGTAATGAAGAATCTTTAATAAAGTTATATTTAATTAAGAGTCAAATGAAATTTATTACTGAAGATACAATGTCTATAGAAAAAGTAAAATTATATTTTGCAGATAACTAAAATTTACTGCCTCATTTCTGGGCATGGATTAATTCAATTGAAGTTAAAGCTTTAGAAGAAATGCTTATGTTATGTTATTCTAATCCATCAAATACTAAAAGAATTTAAGATATTTTCAAATCTCTTTTTTAAACTTTGTCAATTGAATTTTTTTAAAAACATGCATATGCATTAGTCTTAAGATCAAATTTATAAGATAAAATTAAGTATTTATCAGTAATAGGTGATATATTAAGTAAAATAGTGAACCCTTAGGATTATTTCTATTTTAATAAGTAGTGATTTATGTAAAATATTAATGCGTATATGTATTATAACACAATAATCAATTTTTTATGATTTTCTTTATTAATTCATAAGCCATATTATTATCCATAATTAATCTCTCTCTATCTTTTGTGACAATATGATATTCTACTTAGGCTTTCTTAAATTATTGATAAGCGAAAACACAAAACAACCAATTAAAAGCCAAAAATAAAATTTGTAATGTAATAAAAGTTCCTACCTCCTCTTCAAATACCTATATTTGTTATAATTTTATACAGATTATATTGTTTTAAAATATGAAATAATTACTATTGTAGCAATTGTTCTGAAAGCTAAGCTAATTCCTAAACTAATAGGGAATAAATGTAAAATCTAAATGTATTTTATTTATCAATTACCTTTTATGATTTTTAATAAATTCCATAATACCCAATTATAGAAGCAACAATTGTACATAATTGAGCAATATTTTAAGGAATCAATATTGTTTCTAATTTTCTAGCCTATTCTCTATTAGATAAATTTTAATCTGTTAAATAAGTTCTAATTCTAAAGATTTATGAATTGCTTTCAAGAGTGATAGCAGAAAATAAACTAAATACTGCTAATCCCAATAAACATGAATTTAAAGTAAAGAATATTACTTTTCTTCTATCAAATGAAAACCTATTTTTGATGATCTATTTTAATTCTGATAATTCTAATTGTTTGGATAAAACTGGTGATTCCATAAATTATATTTTAATTATATAATATAAATATCATTTTCCTTATTGTTTTTCCTCCTCCTCTTCATTTATCGGAAGTAAGGGATTACTAGTTTAAAATTCCCTTGTATCTCTTCTCTAAATTCTATTAATATATATTATACATAATCATTTCTTCCTTATTATTAATTTAAGGTAATAATCAAATCTCTTAATTGATTTTAGTTAATTCTTTTTTCATTATCACCAAAATGTACTTAAGGAGATGTTGATTTAAAATAAGAAGTACCTTACCCTACAGTACTTAATTGTAGATCCCATATTTCTATAAGGTCAATCTAAATAAATCAATCAATAAAAATACTTACATTAAGTAAATGTATATCATCAGGTAATATTGAACCACTTTAAAATGTTTTATCATCTTCCACTAATCTACTTGCCTAGAGTTATTTCCCATCTATCCAAATTCTATGATGATCATATCCACTACCTCCTATACCTAAACCTGGTTATTTTGGACCCTATTTTAGGGGTGAATGAAGTGTTTAACTTTATCTTTTTGTAATGATTGGAACTAATAAAGCAAATTTACTTTATTGTTAACCATTAGTTGAAAAGATTTTAAATTTAGGATGGATAGAGAATATAAATGATCCTTTATTTCCTGAAATATCAGGAGACACTCTCCATTAAGAAGGAGAGAAATATCCAAATACATATTTTTCTTATTTTTCTCCATCTTTATCTTTTTGAGAATGTCTAAATAAAATCATATTTGGTCCTTTAGCTTAAAGTAAACAATTTCCTAAGATATTAAAATTGTATTATTATCCACTTTCTACCTCATATTTATAAATTTAATTAATTGCAATACACTTTTAAAACCATGGTACACTTAAATTAAGTAAAGCTTAATTTATATCATATTTATTACCTATCAATTATTTATTCATAAGTTCACTTGGATCTAATTTTGGTAATGTATTTCTTAATGTTTTATTAACGAATTTTCCTGCTATATAATTTTTTACTATTTTGCAAATAAAAGGAGTTTCTGATTTAATTTTATCATTAAAAGCTTTATAATTCAATAAGGAATGATCTTATTTAATTAATATTAAATTGTCTTACTTTCAAATATGTTGTTTATAATTAAAATTGGGGCTTAATCGTCATCATGACATAAAATATCTCCTTTATCACTTTACATGTTTATAAGTTCCTAAAATAAAAAGATATAGATTACTTTAAATAGCTTTACTGCATTTGAATAACTCACACTTATCTTATAGACATTATTTAAATTGAATGCATCTCTTTACATTATGTCAGGACTTGATAAAGAGACTAAAGTAAATAATGTATATATATCTAAGTTCTTCAGTTAATTTTACAACTTCATTGATACTCTTGTAAATAAATCCACTAAAATTATACTTTTACTATACCAACTGTGAGAAATGTGAGATTATCTACATAATTTTAACCTCCATAGTTTCTCATAAATATATAGAGCTTTTATGCTAACACAGGATTCTCAGTAAAATATTGTTTAAAGCCTTCGAAACTAAAATACTCATCTGTTTTCCTGTTATAAAAATTATAAATACCCTGGTTTTTATTTTGTCATCTTACTAAATTTTTTTAGTGCATAATCATAGTCGCTTTAAGAGAATCCTACTTTTTCTCTTAATTCTTTTTCTCGAGATCCACAACCTCCCATTACAAATTTTATATATAATATTTATTTACTATTAAAAATGTAAATCAATTTAGTAAGATGAGTAATTTATTCTCATTTTTTAAATTAATAAACTGTACTCTATCCCATAGAAGAACATCCATCATCAGCCATCTCCTTTATTTCTTAATTTAATATTTAAATCTTACCACTCATATTTAAAATCACTCCATTTTAATGTGATTATTCTGAAATTTATTTAATTTCCATCTTTATTGAATCTAACATTTTACTTAAATCATTTTTTCCAGCAGTCATTGTAAAATCAATACAACATTTAGGTTAATTAAGAGGAAGATGAACATTCTTGTGATTATCTTATAATTTACTTTTTTAGTTTTAAATATTATTAGTCTACTTTTCTTTTGATCCCATTCTTTTTTTCTTGATATTTTGAATTACATACATTTAATGATGATTCTCTTTATGAAGATAATTGGTCATCAATCCAATTAAACTATTTTGTATGAGTATCTGCTGTAGACAAATTCTAATTGCTACTATTTCTTTAAGACCGTTCTCCTGTTAAAGTACCTCTTGCTGAAGTTATTACTTGTTCTTATTTCATCATAATAATTTTTTTATCGATTTTTATTGGAGGTTTCTATTATTAGGATGGACTTTTCTAAATGAATTTAATTCAATAGGTTTACAATTATAGGTAATTATTGAGTTGAACATGTTTTATGTGAATTATTGCTTAATTATCTTGGTTTAATATTTTATTCAGGTTCTTTAATAATCATTCTTTAATTCCCAGAATTCCCAGGTTTTCTCAAAGGCAAAGGAGATTTCTTTGTTGAAATTGGTTATCCAGAACCTGGTCTTTTTCTTATAAGTTCTTAGTCAACTTAATTGAATATATTAACTTCTGAACTCATATGATTTTTTGATATTTCTCTTTTAGTTAAAGACATGAAAGAAAATTATAAAAATTATAAACTAAATAAAGTATAAAATAAATAAAATTCTTTTTATTTATTAGTGTATAATAAAATTTAATAACTTGTTTTTTTAATGGTTTCTGCATATTCTATAGGAACTGCAAAAAGGGATAGTCCTATCAAAAATTTAGTTCCAGCCCCAAATACTTACTCATTAAATAATTAACCAACCTCTCCTTAATGGACGTATAATAATTATCAATAATTAATAGAATCGGAGGAAAAGTAAAGAGAGAAATAAGAATTAAATCATGCACTCCTGGACCAGGTTAATATCCTTAAAAATCTTTAATCAATGGTGCACCTTGTTGTACAATTAAAGGTAGACTTAAAGAGAAAGTTATTTCATAATCTCCTGGACCAGGGAATTACAAAGAAGAATAATTCTTAACTGTTCAAAAAAGAATCCCTTCATATAGTATGGGTGTAAAGATTGATAAAATTATCAAAAATTTTGTTCCAGGTCCTGGAACTTATGATTTAAATTAGACTTATTAAACAACAATTTCGAGTAAATTTCCTATTGAAAAAAGAATAAAAACTATGGAAGATGGATCTAATTCGCCAGGACCAGGATGTATACTTTAATAATTATATTAGAATACAATCTCACAAACCATAATAAATTTTCACCACATAAATCATAACCTTCATGGGGATTTGGATCAAAGAATAATTTTAAAATGCATCAATCGTTAGATATGGGTTCCCCTGGCCCAGGTATGTATGAATTAAAAAGTACATTGACACAATAGAGTTTCACACTAAAACCAAAATTAAAAACTTAAGAATGTGATAAATCAATACCAGGACCTGGTAAATATTCTCCTGATGTATCTTTTATTAAATCTTCATAACCTGTATTCAAAATGGGAAAAGAGCCTAGAATTCCATCATAAAAAATTACCCAAGATCCTGGACCTGGAAGATATTATTATGAGTAATTTTAATAATTATTTTTATTTTAGGAATTATGATGTAAGAAGTAAGAAAACATAACCTTGTTACAGTTTAAGTAAAGCAAATAGAATATCAATGGCTGAAAATGAATCATAATTTGTGCCTGGACCAGGAGCATATGATGTCCCTCCTTAAAAATTAGGTAATATTACACTTAAAGGAGTAAAACCTTATATGAGACCTCAGACTATACCAGGACCAGGTTATATTAAATTTAATAATAGGAACTTATAATCCATAAGATAAATTATGTTATTCTTATGATGGATCTGTCAAGATAGTTTAGGATATTAAATAGAATAAGGCTTAACCATCTGAAAAAATTCCAGGACCTGGTGCATATGAATTTAAATCTATTTTAATGGGACCCAGTTGGGGATTTGGTAAACCAAATAAAAGAAAACCAATTTATAATATAAATAACAGTCCAGGGCCTGCTGCTTATGATGTACCATCTAAATTTGCTGATGTTCCAAAGTACTTAAATTGTAAACCTAAATTCTAAGTTTGAATTATTTTATATGTACCAACACCATTTCTATTAATAAAATAGTATCGATCAGAAATATATAAAATTTAACTTAAATGTATTTTTATGAATAATTTTATAAATTTTGAGAGAAAGATCAATTATGCAACAATTTTTGAATCAATTTAAAGATATAATCAATGTCAACGATATTATCCAGAAGGATGAAAATACTGCAATAGGATAAATTTACCTTTATAACTAATTTTCTGATGAATTCTCTGATTTAATAGAAAAATTTACAACGACATAAAGCATATGTGGTTTCACATCAGTTGGAAATGCAATAGCTTTAAAATAAGTAGGATCTTAAATTGGATATGTTTAAGCCATTTAGCATTTAAAGAAAAACTCTTAATTGAGAAGAAAATATGTATAAGATGCTATGATTTATATTCAAAATTGTAGAAGAAAATACATTTAATAGAGTTAATGGTTAAGTTAAAATTAGAAAGATGCTAATAACTATTTGAAGGATTGGGTAGCTAATTTTGAAATAAGTGATTATTTAAGAGAGAAGAAATTTGAAAATATCTATTTTATTAGAAATGTAGCTTGGGATCATCCTGAATTAATGGATAATATTAAATATGAAGAGAAAGATAGAATTCAAGAAGAAATACCCTTTAAAGGAGAGATTTTCTTTATAGATTATGGATTTACAAAATAATATATTAGAAAGAATGACTTTGAATATTCATCTTAACATGTTTATGTTATTGATATTTTGGGTCATTTCATTTGTAGTATAGTTTTAGAAGATAAAGGAAAAAAGTTAATTTTATTGTTAGAGACTATGGAAAACAATAGGCTTAATAACCAAACTATTAAGCAATTTTATAAGATTTGATATTTTGACAAATTTATATATATATATATATATTAATATTATTAATTCACACAATTATTTATTTGATTAAATTAATTAGACTAATTATTAGGATTGGCATAATTGCTTAATATTAGATAGATTTTGATGGTTATTAATCATTGTTTATATCATTTAAAATAATTGTTAATTGTGTTAAACAATAAATGAAACATACTAAAATAAAGCATGGCCATATTATAGAAGTTACACAATCTGTAATGAGTGTGATTATATTATAGGATATGGCAAATAATAATAATGAAGTAACCCAAAACCAATTAAAATTTTATTGTAACTATATTAATGCTGTAATTTCAGTATAAATGATGGAAACATAATAAATTATAATGACTGCTACCCATTTTTTGGATCCATAATTATCATCGCATAATCCAGGTATAATGAAAATCAGGAACGATAATAATAAAATCTTCCAAAGAAATAGAGGTAAAAAAATTAGAATGGGATTCTAATTAATAAATCCATCTAGTTATAAACAAAGTAAGATTATAAAAATAGGCAATAATCCTAGAGTAGAATTTTAAGCTATTGCTAAAAATACTTTGGCAATTCTTGGATATTGCTATTAATCTAGTAAAATATATATTAAATACATAGCCATTTGCTACTTAAGATCCAAATGACAGAATCGCATAGGAAAAATATAAGTCCAATAATAATCCATTTGATCTAATATTCAATTCGAATTGCTATGATTTACAAAATTAAATAAATCGACAATGCTATGAATATACGTATACACTTAAATAGCATCTCTTCCTATTTTCTTCCGATTTCTGATTCGGATCCTTAGAAGTCATCTCGATCTTGCATTATTCGTTTTTGTGAATAATATATTATTATATATTATTAATTCATATACCAAACATTTGTTTCTTTCCATTTCCAACAATCTCTGTTTCCTATTAAATAATTAAAAAGAGAAGATCTTATACAAAATTCACAATAACTAAACTTAAAAAATTAATTAAATACTTAATCTGAATAAACTGAAATTCAGTTCACTTCATATAAATATAATTTCTGAAATCCATTATAATTCATTAAATTAATAATTCTATTTGCAAATCTTATCAAAATAATAATTATTTTGCAGTATATAAGTAAAACATATTTCATTTGAATTTATTAAGATTTATATCTCTCTTACATACTGGACAATGTTTTTCTCTGGACAGCCATTCTGAAATGCATTCTTAATGAAATACATGGCTACATTCTAATTCTATTTCAACTGGATTTCCACTATCTTCTAAACAAATAGTACAACTAAAATTTATAATCAATTATACCAATCATTAATTTGTTACTTTATTTTACATTATTTTAGAAGTAATTGAATTTAATTTTGTAATAATCCTCTACTAACAAATCCCATTTTTTCTTATAATTCTTATAATTATTCATAACTCATTTCATCAAGATCTACATTATTTTACATTCTAAAAAAGTATAATTAATATAAATAAATACTAAGCTAAACGATTTTAGAATTCCATTTCTTCTTGTTATTATAACATAAATGCTAAATGCATTGATTTCTCTTCTTCTGTCATTTCTTCTTAAATTTCATTTTATGATTTCTCAACTGAAACTTATTCTTAATTCTCCTCTTCTATTTAAGGATTTTTTTGATTGTTTATTTGTTATTCTAATTCTTGAATTCTCTATTTCAATTCATTAACAGTGTTTTTTAAATCTTAATTCTCTTAGCGTAATTCATTAATTATATCAGATTTAGATTACGCTTTCTAATTATGTTTCTATATTTATTAGACTGGAATCTTGAAGAGCTTATCAACAATTTCCTTTTATTCTGAAGAAGAAGACTTCAATTAACTTAATTTGATTGGATTGTCCATATATTTTTAACAATAAATTTATTTATAATTTATTTCACTAAAATACTAGTTTATTAATATTATATTGAATGAACTAATAAATTAATCAAAATCATTTTGGAATGAAGATCTTAACTTCTCCATAATTTAAATATAATGTAAATTTCCCATTGGTAATTTTAATACAATCAGTGGTTGGATAAAAGATATTACAAAGAGTTGTTCCTAAATTTATATATATTAAATAGTTACCTTCAGCATATGGATGATAAGTAATAGTTTTGATTGTTTATCTATCATATTTACTTGAGAATGCAGCAAATAAAGTACCTCTTGTGAAGGCATAGATTTCTGAATCGGAATATCTTTAAATTTATTCTTGATTTCCTGCATTAGTTGCTTTACGTGCATTATTAATAGCTTAGATGTATTTATACATTTCAGATTATCTATTAATATATTTAAATTCTTACTAATCTAAATTACCCCACAAAACTTCTCTGTTTTATGGATCATTTCCACCTGCATAAAGTTATTCACTACCATAATAAATCATTGGAATTCCTATTGATGTCAAACAAAATGCAGTGATAGCCTTAAATTAGAGTTTCTTCAAAGCAGAGAAAGTCAAATGAGGTTTATCACTTAAAAATACTTCATCTGGAATATATCCTTAAATTTAATCATTTAAGAATCTTGCATTATCATGATTATCATTGAAATTACCAGCATATTAAATATTTTACTTACCCCATGAATTCATTAAACTATTATAATAATTTTCAAATGTATTCATATCTCTCCAATGTAGAAATACATCTCTTGCTGTATAGAAGAGAGGATAATTTAATAAAGCATCAACAGGACCAACAAATTATTTTAAGAAATTCATATCTCCATCAAATACTTCTCCTACTGTATAAACACCAGCAGCATTAGAGAATTTATACCAGAAATCAGTTTTAACCATCATTAGAGTATCAATTCTAAGACCATCAAATTTAAATTCTTATACAAGCCATTTGATCCATTATAATAATTATTCAGTAACAAATTAATTATCTTAATTAAGATCTGCAAGACCTGCAAGTCTACATCTTTCAATATTATAAAGATTATGTGAGTTAAAATCATTATCTGTGATATCACACCAATCATGATAATGAGAAGATTGATTGAATGGGTTGTTTTAATTGTATACTGTATTTGTGTTTCCCATCTAATATAAGATTAAATAATTACATGATTAGCTACAACATCAACCATAACCCATATATCTCTAGCATGACAAGCATTAACAAGAGCTTTCAAATCATCAGCAGAACCAAAATTATGATTTACATCATACATATTCCTTGCCCAATATCCATGATATCCACCATCATAATTATCTATAACAGGTGTAATCCAAATAGCATCAAATCCCAAATCTTAAAAATATAATTGTATATTTACTTTAAATATAATCAAGTTATTGAATCATTCCTTAGTAATCACCTCCACAATAATTGCCTAAATTGCATGAAGTTGATCTGCCTTAACTTGTAGCAAATCTATCAGTAAGTAATTGATAAACTGATCTACTCTTCCATTCATCTTTAGATTTGCAATGGATGAGTACAACAAGAACAAACAAAGATAATAACAATTTCATGTATTAAATTTAATGATGTCATAAGAGTATTAATTTCTATGCCATATTTATATATAACAAATTGCATCATTTATTAATTTTATAAAAATTATATATATTATTTTTATAAGAATTTCAGATTTTTAGATTAATATACAATAAAATATATAAAAATCTATTGTTCTAAATTAATATATGAACTAATAAAATTTAACATATTAGTTTTATTTAATAATTCTAATCAAATATATATATATATATATATTTGGTATAAATTATCATTACATTTGTAAATTTTTCTTTGCTTTTCGAACATCTCCATAAAATATATCTTTTGGAAATCTTTTTATAGCTCTCAATTTATTATATTGTAATCCAAATGAAAATTGCATTACATCTTCCTCTCTTGTTACATTTATTTAACTATAATTAAACTATTGTTTCGATACTCCAATTTTGTATCACTATAATCTTGAATCTATTAAAATACAGATCTTCTTAATGGAGTAACATCATCATAATTACTTCTTCGATTTCTCTATTAAAAATAATTGAATTAAGGGTTTTCATCTATATTATTAGGAGTAGACAAACCCTTATTAATATTTCCTTAAATTAATAGTAATTATTACTTAAATAATTGTTTGTCTTTCTCATAATTTAATCCTATAGATCAGGTTAACTAGATTGTTTGGTTTGATTATAATCATAGATTTCTCTATAAACTATATATATTAGAGAGAAGAAACCTTCCTTAATTAACTTTAACTGCTTTTAATCGATTCCCTTTATTAGTTGTAATCTTATTATTTAAAGCATTTAATTTATTGTTCTAAATCTCAACCTTATCTACTCTATCAATTTTAATTTATACTTAAAAACATTTAGATGTCATTAGGATAAAATCGTTTATTAAAGTCATTCTGTTTATCAATTTCAGTTTTGATTCTTTAATGGGAAGTGACAGACTTTTTCGATTTATTTATTTCATGAACATCAATCGAAGTCTTCAAATAGTTATTAGATCTATTTGCATGATCTATAAAATGTTATATTATGAAACAAAACTTCTAAAAATATTCACAACTTTAGGTTAACTTTAGTTTTTATGAGTGTAATTTTAATACAATTTGTTTGGTGAATCTCCAACTCTACATTTATTTGCACTTTATGATTTTCTACAATCTTTATTAACTGCTAGATCAAGAGGAAATTGATATTACATTATAAAATTATTGATTAAGTTTATTATAATATAAAAATAATTATTACTTATTCTTAAATAATATCATTTTTCAATTTAACTTACTTTAAAAGAATTCAATCATCTTTTCCCTTTAAGTTTTTTAAGTAGCATTTTCTAGTTTATTTTATGGATATTCATTTGATAATATATTTAAATACTGTCCTATACCATCAATAAATCTATTATTTTCATACTTAATCTATTTACTTATAATCCTCAAATAATTGTTGTCCATTGAAAATAGATCCATTTAAAATTTATTCTTTATTTTATCTATTTCCAATCATTTAATTGATTTATTATTATAATTGTTGATTTTATTAAGCATTAATATTTTCCAAAATATTTGTAGATGAATTATTACTCAAAGGATCTAATTATTATAAAAATGTTTCATTTGAACCAGAATTAAAAGTTCGAACTTCTAAATTATAGTGTTCTAATAAATTCAAAATATTTAATGTTTATATTTATGTTCCCACAGCACCAACAATTGAAGTCTTATTACAAAATATTTTATCTCCCATACACAATAAATAAAATGCACCTGATAATGCATAGTCTTCTGCAAATGTATATAATGGAATATTGTATTTTTTTCTAACTAAGTCAAATTTTCTTTATATTATATGAGCATGTGATAAACTACCACCAGTTGAATTAATGATTAAAGCTATTGCCTTAGAATTTTCAGGGTTAAATTTTTTTAATGCCTTATAAACTTTATAAGTCCTAACTATTTTTCTTGAAATCTTACATAGAACTTGTTATTTAACCTTATAGATAAAAGTATGAGACCTTTTTGTATTTTTCTGTGTCTTTTCCAATTAATTTTAAGAATTTATACATTTAAATATATTATAATTTTCATTCATTTAATTATGTTACTAAGGCAGTTCCTCTCTTAACCCAATGACTGACACTTAATTATGTTTTGATAGGTATGGAAATAATCTTAAATATGAATAATAAAAATACGAAATTAGTAGAATGTCCTGTTGTTGATAAAGTACCTCTTCTATCAAGAGTTTTATAGACAGGACAAATATAATCTTCTTGATTCTCAATAAAATTCTATTTAGGCAAGAGTTATATCTAAGATTATATTTAAAATTATACCTTTGGGAAATTTTAATAGATTACTCCATTAATAGGTTCATCTATTACTTATTCTTCTTAATTCCATTTACCACTTTCTAAATATAATCCATTAATTATAATTCCTTCTTCTTCTTTAACATCAATTTTAAAATCAAATTTTAATTAATCTATAGGTATTTTATGTTTTCTTGCATGATTTTATAATACTCCTGTAAAGAAAGATTATGTGAAATAAAATCCAGGTAACCAAAATACAGTTGGAGTTCCCTATTATATCCATAAATTGAACATATCTATTCTTTATTATAAATCTTATAAATAATTATTTAAACTCTTTAAAGATGGATATGATTTCTATTTCCATAATTCTGGTAATATATTATTAATTAAACATTCTCCCATTTTCTCTAATTATTAACTCATAACAATCAAACCTTATGCAGCTTTAATCAAATCTTATAATGATTTTGACAAAATATTTAATAAATTATTGTATCTCAATACTTCTTACAATAATACAGTATTCATGCTTTCATAATAATCAATTTTGAATTTCTCTTAAACAACATTAATATCAAATTATTTAGGAATAAGAATAAGTAAACTTTGAGCTTTTTCTAATAATAATTTATTTTTATCAATATTTTCTTCAGCTCCTTATTCAACTAATCCTACATCTAATAGACATGTTAAAATATTCTTTGTTTCCAATTAAGCTTAGGTAATTGATGCATTAGAATGTAAACCAAATAATTCTGGTGATGTAGTATCAGGTAATTGATTAATAAAATCAATAGCCTATTCTAATGTATTTAATTGTTATGCTTCTGGTATACAATATTCTTGAATAGAACTAAATTTATAATTTTCATAAAAGATATCCATCCTATAGAATGTTGTTAATAGAACTCTTAAACATCTTCTATCCCAATCATCAGTAACTTTTCCACCATAATAACATTCACCAGTTAAATATATTAAGGCTGTAAATGGAATTTCTTAATAATCCATAAGCATTTATTTCAATTAACGAATAGATATTCTAAAATCAGAATCATTAAAATCATAAGTAATATTCCATCCAACAGGTCCATATCTTCTTCTTTCTCTTACAATTGCATGAAAATAACATAATGCTAAATAAAATTGCTTAAATTCTTAAGTTTTCTCACCACAACTTTCATAAAATTTCTTTTCATTCTTTGAACTATTCTAATTTAAATATATTTATTAAATATTATCCTTGACTCCTTTTGGTGGATCTTTTGTCATTTTTACAGCATCCATCAATAATTATTATGGAAATGAGGGAGTACTCATTGTAGTCATCCATAATCTGAATTCTGTATTTATTTTCATCAATTTATCTTTCTCTTTTTTATGTAATTCACTATTTATATTTTATAATAAATTATCCAATTATGGTAACCAACTTATTGCTAAATGACAATTTTATAAGATAACCCATTAACCCAAAGCCAAAGATTCCATTATTAAATTGGTTGCATTCTCTCCTTGTCCTTTACCCAAAGAAACAAAAGTCAATACTTTTCCTCTTTCAAAACTAAACTTCTTAACTTCTTCTTAAGGATCATCTCCAGGTTATAATACAAATATCAATGGAATAGTTGTTCCACTATCTTCAAAACTTTCTTATAATCCAAACAATAGATTTTAAGTGAAATACTATCCCAAATCTTCAGCTATTAATTCTCTCATATAATAACCAAATAATTATGGTCTTGCAGCTCTTATTAGCAATAATCTTTAAAAGGTTGATAAATGTTTGATTTATTCAGGAATTGAATTTTTTTATGGATCATCTAAATATGATATCATAGATTAACTATTTGTAATTTATAATCCAGGAATAATAGAATGCAAATTCTTAAGCATTTCCCATTAATTTTAAGTGAATATTTTAGGATCTGGATTTTCAATATTAATTTATTCTCCATTTAAAACTGATCCTGTCAATAAAAATTATAATTCATTATTATTTATTAGATTGTTACTATTATACCAAGTAATCAATAACATAAAAGAGAATAGATTCTTATGTTTAACAAATATAGATCTACTGATTTCTTAAAAGACAACTCTTTTTAATGATTCAGTAATAAATACAATTCTTTATTTAATATTTTTTTAATGAGGTTTTTCTGCTATTCTTATTGCTTTTTTAAATATTCTTTAATAGAATTCTAATGAAAATACATACATTGGATCTAAATAATTAAGTTTCAAAATTGAGAAATATGTATGAGATGCAAATGTAGATAAAAGATCATAATGTAATCTATTCTAATTAATACGATCTTCTGTTTATTTTGCTTCTTTTAATCTTAATGTAATTTCTTCTGATAATATTTTTGATTGTTGTAATTATTAAATTAATGCTTCATCTTCTAACATCTATGAACCTTCAGTCTTAGATAACATATCTAGAATTTGAGATTCTATCTATTTCATTTTTTATTTGTAATAATTGTTATCATTCATTATTCTAATCTTTTCATCTTCTAATTAAGCATCTTCTTCTCTAACTAATATTGATGTCATTTGATCTTTTAAGGCTTCTTGAGTAATTGTAAAATTAATTAAAGTCACTTTAGTTAAAATAGATGGAGTATAATGTGGATTTGATAATGAAGTTACTAAATATAATCTAAATCCAGAATGAACATAAACTTGATTACCACCTATACTTAACATTGGTTTACCATTTGCCATTTAATATTGTTTACTTAACACTGGATCCAATATTTAATCCAATTATTATTCAATACCTTAAATCAATAATATTTAACCATCCCTTATTGCTGTTTCCAATATATTCCCTAAATATCTATCTTATTTAGCAACTTTAAAATTTTATTCATTTATTTTTTTCTCTTTTCTTTAAATAAATTTATTTGCTTAACCTTGAGGATCAATGATTAAAGGATAACTATCAGCCTTTTACATTATGATAGCATTTTCTTTACTGAAATCATCTAAAGGTAAACCACACAATATCCATTCTTGCAATTCAAATTATGTACTTAGACATTCAAGTAAAGAATACGATTCTGAAATAGGCACATTTTATTCTTTAATAATATTTTACCATTTATTTAAGATTGTTTTTCTAAATGAAATAGTAAATGCTCCCATATATGATAAATAACCAACAGATAATAACATGTCACCTAAAAGTGATTTGATATTATTCTATAATTTAATAGATTCTTCTTTCCATCTATTCTTTTCTCCAGCCAAACCACTAGTTAATTCTAAAGCTCTTTTTAATTTCACTTCACAATCTTATATTTAAGCTTTAAGCTATTACTTTTAGAAATTTTCATTTTCAAATGTTTCTCTCAATTCTTAACATCTTTCTTCTACTTCTTATAATAATTATTATTTGGCAGCAAGTTCATTCTAAGCCATTTTCAAAGATTATTATGCTTTTTCAAATTCTTCTCTTAATGGAGTAATTTCTTTATAAACAAAATGGAATTTATAAATAGCCAATACCCATAAACATAATCCTTCTGCAGCTTAACTTGCCTTAGAAATAAGAGCAGGTTAAAATTATTTATTTTTATCTAAAAATTAAGTCATTTTTGTAATGACTTTCTCTGGAATATTATTTCTATTGTATTTTTCAAGCATTTTAATAAATTTACCAGGATCACTTAATACTTTTACAGCTTCTTCCCAATAATCTTCACCTCCATCAGGTCCTTTCTTTGGTTTTCTCTCTAACATAATACAAACAGAATCCATAGTCAATCTAATAGGTTTTGGAGGATTTTTCAATGCTTTCATTTCAACAAAATCTGATATCTTAAGTGTCTTAAGAGCTTTAATTGCAGCCTCTAATTATGGTTCTGCTTCACTCAACCTATCCTAACACTAATTAGAAATATTCTGAGCTATTTCTGCTTTCTTAGCAGTTTCAATTTCATCTTCTTTCACCTTCATTCTTTAATCTTCTGCAATAGCAGTTTCCTATTCTACTTTCTTCATGATTTGATCTGTTTCTAGTGTTTTCTGAACCAATTCTGGTTATAATGCTTCAAGTTCTTTTTTCATTTTATCTACAGCTAAACCACATTCATCTAACATTTTGACACCATTGATATAAGTATCTCTTTTTTATTGAATAGAATTGGAATATTGATTATACATTGATTAGAAACTATTCAATAATTAAATATAAGACAATGGTGTTACATAATAATGATAGCCAGTTCTTTGTAAATATACTTCAGTCATAGATTCAACAGCATGATGGATTCCAACACAAGCTTGAGCTATGTTAGATTCTGGTAATAAGTGTTCTGCTACCTATTACAATGCTTATTATGACCAACTTTCCATCCATAAAATAGAAGTACAAGATACTAGAGAAGGGAAATTTCTTAATCTAGTTTTTAATTTATCTCCAACTGGACTTAAGTAAATAATCAAATGAAGATTAGCTTTACATTATTTTACGAATAATTCCCATAATTATAACATACTTATGTTTCCTTAAATTCTGGTTTCTCTATCCTTTTATAAATTCTCTTTGAAATCACTTAATAGATTTTCTTTATCATCATAATTATAAAGATTAATAATTTCTCCAATATTCAAAATATTATTGATATCCTCCAATACTACTTCAGTAATTATTTATTGATCTGATAATAGGAAAATACTTTTATCATTTTTAATTGATAGATTCTTGAACATTTCTCTCCAAAATTCATACCATT